TATATATATATATATATATATATACATTATTTACAAATTTATACATATACATATATGAATATATAATTATCTCTTTATATTGTTTATGCTATTTAAAAATATATAAATTATATAAATATTATAAATAAATTAGTTTAATTAAATACATTTAAGTATATATTTTTGTATTGATTCTATGTAATATATGATAAAGTTTATATAGTCTTCACTTAAACATTAACATATACATATATACACTTTTTAGAAATAATTTGTAATATCACAGTACATTGTCTCTGAAATGATATACAATACATCTTTTATTATTATTTTAATCTTAAAGTTAATGTTATAATAAATTATAATCCTTTAAAAAATTGCACAGAATGTATATATATATTTATGTAAATCTTAGAGTGATGTTAAAATATGGAAAAATCTAATTGGCTTAATAAATAATAAAATAAATTATTGCTAAAAGTGTTATTGATTAATGATGTCAACAGTTCTTAGATTTCTTTTACATTCACATTTATAATATATGTATCTAACATTTTTGCATATTATATTTGCCGTACATTAAATCATGTAATAATCTATCTTTGAATATTATGCAATATACATGATAATAATACATATCTTAAAATTTAATAGCACTCAATTCCTTTAAATTGTCTAATTTGCTTTTATTATCCGCTAATTGATTTTTATCTGAAATAATGCGTTCAGCATTTAATTATATTAGGATCCAATTTCATAATTCCATAATTATCCAAAATTCATCATTTGTGTCTGAAAAAGCTTCCTCAAAAAGAAAAGTTGATGAAATCTTAAGGCTTTTTACTAGTCAGTCAAAAATTCCGCGTTGACAGTGGTTACATCATGTCGCGGATTACCGTAGGAATTAGAATCTTGTTCACCGTATTAAAACAACGAAATTTTGTCTTGCCATTTCATTATTATGTGCGTAATTATGAAAATGTGACTTGTCTCGTACTTACCAAATTTGTAAAAATGAACAGAAAATAATATTATCTTTGAATTTTATACGTAAAAGCATTTTTTTTCACACCTTTTAAATCGTGTGTTTTCCTGCATGAATAGGCTTCACTTCATGTCATTTTTTTACGATTATTTACCTACTGACTTAAAGAGAAAAAGGATGTATAGTTTTCATCCATTTTTACAAGTATTTTAAAGCGATTTCACTTTTTGTTTTATACAAATTTTCTTTATTTACAAATAGGACGAACAAGAAACTTTAACGTGTCATTTCTCGCTTATGACGATTCCAATATGTGGCTGCGGTGATTATAGTCAGGAATTTTAACAGTTTAATATTTTCGAAATAAACGATTAGATGTCTCCGGCCAACTCAGTATTGTTCATAAACTTGGTAATGCTGTTGACTTAATTAGAATCATTAACTGAGGTGAATAACACGATGATCGCCATGAGAAATAATTCGAACACGATGCAATTTCAAATGGGATACAAATTGAGTGAAATGTCATTGATGTCAAATTCACCAGTAGATATGATAACAGTTTTAAAGAGAAAAGAAGTGGTATCGGAGAAATTCTTGAAAATTCGTTAAAATTGAAAGAAGAGAGAGATTTTATATGTTTTATAACATAATTAAAATTAAATAAAAGTTGCAAGCTGTTTATTTAACACTAGTATGCAACACGTGGATATACGACCCGCTTATGTTGTGCTTTTTAGTTGACTTTTGTCTTATCGTGTTTATTAATACACTTAGAATGGAGACCATATATCTCTTGATAAACATAGACATAAAAAAATAAGCTATTTTTCGACACGAATTTAAAACAGCGTTATGGAATTATCGGTTGTAATGACATTGATAAATTCTGATTGAACTGAATTTAGTGTTTCATCGAACGATCGAAACGTTATCGTCAATGTAACAGAAGTAATTGTACGGATGCTAAAATAAAATTGGAAACACTCACTATGATTTGTTGACGACGTAGAAAGAATTATGATTATTGCAGGTCGTATTCATACCTATAGTGAAATGCTCGTGCTATTACGTACGTTAAGCTTATCGGTTTTTTATGTTTTAGAGAACTGTTGGGTTATCCATTGATAAGACATTGTATTTGTGAGTCTGTGAATAAGTGATTAAATACACATAAAATATTCAGAACAATCGTTTTAATAATAAAAAAATAGCACAATTTATCATAAAATTTGTAATCCGAACATATTTATTTCATAAAACATTGATCTTCAAAAATCTATATCAAATTAATATTTTTATGAAGATATCTAAAGTTTAATGTTAATAAATTCATATTTAGTTTTCGGTATTTATTATACTATACGGAAACCTATCTATCCATGCAGTAAATACCATCTCTGCTATGATATTTTATCCAATTTAAATAATCAGTGATCTTCACATATACTCCTGGAAGTCCGGGATCTGCGCATCCAATACCCCAGGAAACTACACCTGTTGGAATAATAACTCTTATCTATAGGAATCATAAATTCCGTGATATAATTTATGGGCGTATTTTATGTGTAATTTTTTTAATCAGTAATTTATATTAAATTTCAACAACATAACTATAAAATGTATAAATAATTGTGTGATAATATTCTTACCAACTATTTCATATTTGCCATCTATTCTTTGGTATAGAAGAGGTCCGCCACTGTCACCCTGAAATTTCAATATTATTAATATCTTTTAAATGCACATATGTATTTGTTGAAGAAGTAGATATGTTTAATTTTGCAGTTAATATTATATCTTACATTTGTTAGTTTATAAATTGCTCGTGTAATTTATAAATTAACAAATAAGAAAACTGAGGAAGTCAATATTGCTAATGACACATGAAATACAATATGAAAAAAGACATATTTAATATTATTTTGATCCTAATGTACATAGAAAATTAAATTAATCATGACACAATACCTGGCATGCATCAGTATTGTCATTGTAAGCACAAATCATTGATTCCGTGACATGATCTCCAAATGAAGTATTCTTACACGTTGCGTAGGACATTACTTTCAAAGTGGCTTGACGTAAAAATTGGGAAGGTTCTCCTTCCACGTGGACACGTCCCCATCCGGTAACTTTGACGAACTGTCCCGTATAATCAGAATCTATCATTGAAAATTTATTTATATTGTCCCTTTTCATATTTTAAAACGGAAGATATGTGTATGTAAAAATATAAGAGACATATAAATAAGTGTTTTTAATTTAAATTATAATTTTAAGGGTCTTAATTTAATATTCAATTTAAGTTTACTGAAATTTTAAATATTATGAAAATATTATAGCTGACCTTTATGTGGAAGGCATGCAGGTTTTACGTTTTCAGTGATCTTAATCTGATTCCGCAATCGAATCAAGGCAATGTCATTTGTATCATGGAGATAATCGCTCTCGAAATCTTCATGTAAAGTTACATCATCGATATCAACTATATATCCATCATTTGGGTTTTCAATATCGTGCATACCTACGCCGATCGAAAGATCAGCCTGGTTCGCCCTATACGCGCAAGTTGCAAAAAATATGAGAATCAGGATATTTTACGGATATTTTATAATATGTTATATAACGTGTACTTGTTTTCATTTTTAAAACATATTACTATAATAATATATATATTATAATAATACATAATAAATATTTAGTAAAATGTATTATTTTCTGTTGATAATATTATTATAAATATTTATGTAAAAATTCTAATATCTTAGAAGTTGCAAATTAAAATTATGATTTAAAATATTACTTATTTATGTTTTTTAAATATACTTAAATATATTAATGATTTTATTAGATGTTAAACAAATTTTTATACATATATATATATTTTTATACATTATCAAACATTCATTAACTTTAATATCGCATATGACTTTTCTAAAAAGTACACAAAACTATAATAAAGACTTTTCATCTTTCCAAGAAATAGATAAGATACCATTTAACGCAATGTCCGGCTGTTAACACATATCGATTATTAATTAATGCGCCTCCGCAATGAATCCTTTTTTTATTCAAAACTGCCACAACAAAAGGAAATATATGCGGAATCGATATTTTTCCACCCACAATACGATTTGATATCCCTCCTGATTCACCACATTCTGTTATAAGAAAATTTTCCATATTAATTAAAATTATATATATGTATATGCAGAGAAAATATAGTAAAATATTATATGTTAAATAAAAAATTCAATAAATGTCAGCAGCGAATACGAGTCGGCGCGGTAATTGGTGCGCAAGAATATAAACTTAATAATTGATTAACATGAACAGAATTTTAATTAACTTTGTTGTATGTTTTGGTTCTTACTTGGGGCCATCTTCAGCAAAATGGACATGATACAAGCAGTTTTTAATGGTTGATATAATTAACGTTAACACATAAACCTTTGAAGATTGCAAGTATTATTTTCATTATTTTGCTGAAGATGACTCCAAGAAGATAGCTCTGGTTTGTCATTGCCTTCTGAGAGATGCCAATCACTTCCAAATTGATTAAAAATGTAAATGCTCATTAAATTTAACAGTTAGCTGCGTCACGCATATATTTTGATATGATCTTTACCGCAGTCTGGATTTACTCGTAGACGTAGGCGATGCTTTTGCACGCGTGCCGCCTGAAAATGAGCACAATGCAATTATTTGATAAGGGATTATCAGTCGCGCTCCTTTTCGACCCATTCTTGTCATGATCATTTCATTTAATTACTCTCTCAACGAACGTCTAGGATCAGAAGGCTGCCAATTGTCGTCAGGATCAAATGAAGCTTCATTCTGCGACTTCTATTCAGAGATTTCACCTTCTGAAAACAGCACGATTACTAAGCGCAACACAGGGAACACTCCGTTCTATATCGAGCCGCGAGTAACAACGGCAACCAATTTCGATGCAACATCATTGCCGAGCGTATTACCTCGTCCGCGTTTTATATCTCGAGGAGCGTGTACCAATAAATCGCTATTCTCATTAACGGTAAATTCTAACGTATGATCGCTCAACATAAAACAGGCTGCCAATCTCTCGCTGCCATGTCCCAAATTAATAAAATTGAAATATAAATTTCAGAATACAGTCTTTACAAAAGTAAATAATATATTTATATGAAAAAAATTATATGTAGGTTTTTTGCAAAAATTAGAAGAAATTATTTTTTATTTATTGATATGTTTTACATTTAACATATTTTTATAATCAATTAATGTTATCAATATACATGTTCGATTGTTAAATCTATCCTTTTATGCGAAATGTATTTTATCCTTCAGGATATGTCGGCAGATTTTACAGGTCGCTGCTCTTTCTCACCTCGAAAGTGTTATAAATTACTCTTGGGAAGGCGGGATAGGTACTAAGAGTGGTATATGGGCGATAAATTCTTATAAGAATTTCCTATAGTAATTGTGTCTGAGACTAAAGTTGATCCATGAAGAAGAAAGAAGATGATTTGAGAGCTTCGTAAAAAGTAAAGAATTAGAAAAAATAAACTAAACTCTTTATAGCACTTAAAGCTAAAGGAAATATAATACAATAAGAGTAGTTTACTACATAATAACGAATAATCGCAAAATTATGTGTCATAAATGAAAACAAATAAAGTTACAATTTTAACGACACATCATTATTGTTCTGGACATAGCCTTAATGTAAATACCATGACTATTATTATAATTGAACATTCATTGAAAATTAAATATTGGTAAAGCGCCAGTCTCTTGTCTCGGCACAGATATCAATACGGCTCTGTAGGTACCGTATCGTAGACGTCTATGGTCAAATACAGACGAGCATTATAGTTTATGAGTTATGGACAATGCGGTCAACAAGGTTTATGTGGTGTAACAGCTGATAAACATTAACTGTGTTGTGAGAAAATTATAACAGTCTGCACTTAAATATTGATAAAGTTCTAAAAATATTTATTATAATTTGTACAATTGTAAAATAAATGGCATGTGAAATTTGTTTATTTCCCTTTTTATAAAAAAAATATTTTTATATATATAATATACATATATAAAAAATATATAGTTATATATTTATTGTATTTGATTATATGATCTGGAAGATTGTTTCAATTATATCAGTGCCAACAGTACTTGGAATCGTGTTTTGTTACTTGCAATATCCATGAAACCATTTGTGTGACATCGGTATAAAAATCCGGATAGTTAACGTTAGCACATAGTACTCCACTTGAAGTAATTCCTGCAAAATAAATTCTGTTAATTTTGTTGTCAAGTTATTATTTATGTTAAAACTCACCTATTAAAACGTGTTTATAATTTTCATCCAGTATTTGAAGAGGGCCACCGCTATCACCCTAAATTATATAAATTTATAATATAATATTTTATTTAAATTATTTTATTGTTGTAACTTAATGTTTTAAAACATGATAATATCGTGCAAAAAGTTAAATATTGATAAATTTTAGAAATGTTTTAGAAATGTATTAGATATGCATGTATTATAAATGTAATTTACAATACATTTTTTTGAATATGTGATTTGTAATATCAGTATAAAAAATCAGTAAAAATAAATATTAAACTGTGTGTAAGAGAAAAATGTTATAAATATTTCAAAGTACCCCACAAGTGCCACGTGGTGATTCTTTAGATCCTGCACAAAGAAAGGTTGAAATATCAGTAGGACATTCCGATCGCTTAAATAATGTCAAATCCACAACACGCAAACCACATTTTTTACTAAATAAAAAATCACTTTCTGAAAATCCCCAGCCAAGTGCAGATACGGATTGTCCTCCATATTGAGAGACTGCATCAAGTTCTGTAAAAAAAATTTATAAACGATTATTAAATATTTTATTTAATTAGATTTACTGTAAATATTTACGTATTTTAATATATAAATATTGTATAAATTTGAAAATTACCGAGTTTTGGTAAACAAATTGGTTTGACAAATTTGTTGAAGGAAATTCTCATAATTAATTTTACGAGCATAATATCTGCGAAATTTGTTTCTCTATTGTAATTTGGATGTGGAAAAATACTCTTAACAGAAAAGATTATACTTTTCGAATCCCATTTGCATGAATTATGAGCACCGACAGATACTTTCAGATCATCTTTGCTAAAATTATAAAATATAAAATATTTTGCTTACAAATTTTTACAATCTCTGTAGATATGCGAGCGTTATTATTAAGAACAAATTTTATGCGAAATATATTCTACATGAAACTATTTTGTAAATGTATTTTTTAGTGACTATATCTATGTTATATAATATTTCTCTCTTTCTCTTTTTTTCTCTTTTTTACTATCGTTCAAATATTTATTTGCTATAAAATTTCTTCTTAAGTAAATTTAAATGTTATTTTAAAACTTATATAAAAAAGTTTTATTAAAATTTTTTAAATTATTTTACACAAATAATAATTTTAATATATATGATAATTCTTAATATTATTTAATTTGCCACTACAAAATTATACAGTTCTTTATTTAGGAATTATTCACCGTAAGAAATGGTGATGTTTTTTTGTATTATAAGCAGTTTATACCCATAAATTATACAATGCGCTGCTGTTATCACGTAACGATCGTTTATAATTGATGCTCCGCAAATTACTTGTGATCTATTGATACTTATAATACCAGCCATCCAGGGATATTCATTTTCGAAAACTTCTCTCCCTCCAATGATTCTGGACGATGGTGAAATAATTTTTTTTCCGCATTCTAGAGCGTAATAATCATAAAAATAAAAATAATATTTTTATAACAAATTATTAGACTTATTTTCTTAAGTATATATATGAATGGCCATAATATTGCGATAAACAGCTTATTAATTTTTATAAATATACATGTAAAAATAATATTAACAATTTTTATAAGAATTAAAATAATATATAACAATCAATTTATAAAAAAAGACAATATATAAGAATCTATTAACGATTTAATATTTTATTTAAAGATTTTACTAGTATTTCTTCTTTCTTTGCCATTTTTTGAAATTATGAAATTATTGAAGATTAATCTCACCGCAATGTTCATGCTCAGATCTTCGGTGAAATATATCAGTATGTCCATGTTCTCGTTCATACCACGATAACGTATTAACATGTCTAACTACTAAACACACTAAATTAATTAATACGAAATACTGTACGTGTAACATTAAGACGAATTTGCAATTTTTATAGCAAGATGTATTTTACTGAACTGACGTGTGAGGCATCCAATGCAATGCTCTGTAAATATTTTAATGACTAATATTTTAATGTCTACTAGAACACTAAAGAGCGGATGTGGTTTAACTCTTGTCATTAGGTGTTAGATAAGATAATACTTAAAGCTTACAACTCTTTTCTACTAAGAAGAAATGAGTTGTTTAATCTGCAAGATGTTCGATGTTTGAAAATTATAAAATTGGATGTTTACTAATTGATGTAATTTTCAAATTATTTTAAGTCAATTGATTACATTATGTGATTATTTGATCATTGGAAATTAAAAATGTTTAATAAATACGATATCACAGCTTATACACTTTATGGTGCAATAAAAACATTTTTATTTCTAAAATTATACATATCTCGTATTAATATGTCACAATTTTCATATTTTGTGCGTAAAAACAAGAAAAAATATACATATACATGCATTTTAAATAATATTTTAAATAGTGTTTTGCTTATCTAAACATTTACAAAAATTATTTTGTGTTTTTTTGAACGTATATATAGTAACAGAAATAGTAATGATAAAATAATTCTGAGTATCACATATTCAATAATATTCTCATAGAATTATTGAAAATTTGTTTGTATTATTTTGTACAATAGCATGCATCCTTGGTGTGTTGTAATATCCAATCGAGATGCGGTCCTATTCTCGTAAAAACAGTTGCCCTAGGAGTATCGTCACATTCATTTACGCTCGGAATAATTCCTATAATGCATACAATATATATACATATTTTGTTAATGATATGTTTCTTTATCTTTAAGAATTAACAATTTACACATGTATTAATTGCAATTTGTATATATAATTAATAAAATCAAATTGAGATATTAAAATTCAAACAAGATACATTTTTCCTTAAATCTCTTAATTCACTACATTCCTAAAAATATATTTTTGCTATAAATAATTGTATTGTTTACTAATATAAATTTGATATGTAGCCACTTTTAAATATTAAATCAGTTTTGACAAATGTGTGTGGTCATATTTACCAATAAGATCGTAAATTCCGGCGTACGATCGATATTGCACAGAAGATCCAACATCATTCTATAAATATAAACATTATTACATAAATAAATGTAATAAATAATTTTTTATAAATTATTTGTTTTTAAATCAAGATGGATAAATTTACTTTGATTTAAATTTTAAAAAAATTTTTCAAGTTTATTTAAAATACGTTTGATTAATTTTAGAATCTCATGTATATGAATAACTATCTTATGAAGTCATAATATGACATGTATAATTCACTTACTTTGCATACCAAAGAATTTGTACCCACAATCCCGATGCATCCGTAATCATCATTTACATGTTCTGAATTTATTCCTGATTTAATACACTCATTACGTCCCAGAATGGGAAGTCCTAATTTTCGAGGTCTACATGTCTGAACATCAGCTTGATCTTTTTGCTTGGTCCATCCTACCAAGGTACCGACTTGACCGAGATAAGTTGATCCTGAAATTCAGAAAAGAAGAGAAGTTTGGTTACGTATAGTTCTACATCTTATCATATTTATTATAGCTATAATATTAATAGATTTATGATAGGAGTCACAAAAAGAAACAAACCTGGATTGGGTAAGCATACCGGCGATATTCTCTTCTCGAATTTAACTGGTCGACTTAAGCGCAATAAAGCTAGATCATGAGTATTCGACTCTCGATTGAATTCTGGATGCAAAATGACAAATTCGACGCTGTTGTTTACTGACGAGACATCGAAGGTACATCGATCGTATTCTCCCAAAGATACCTTTATTGCTGTTGCTCTGTCGAGAAAAATATTAATTACACAGGATATTCTACAGTCTCTTTTCTGTTGTTACTAAGATATAATTATGTTTAATAGTAATAGATTTCAGATACTAACGCTGTATCGACAAGTTGACTAGCCGCTGTTAAGACATAACGATCATTTATCATTGCTCCACTCATTGTCAATTTGGAGTTTACATGAACATTTGCAAGCCAGGGATATTCATGGGAGTCTGTATGTTCGCCAGCCAATAATCGCCCTGCATTACGATTTGATCGGCCGCATACTACAAATATATAAAATATTTTATATTAAATAAATACGTACAATCCAGATCAAAAATGTATAAAAAATTATAATGCATATAGTCATAAAGAAAAAAATATTTTTAATTAAACATGCTTGTTTCAACTGCAGTTAAATTTTTCTCTAATATCTGAAAACATATCTTTTTCATGTTTTATACAAAGCGCATTACGTAGTTAATGTAGCATAATTCAATTATTACATCTTATGAAAGAGTGGAAAAATATGGTAAATTGCATTAATTATGGAGATCTTTCTTGTAAATGCGGGCGAATATTAATGTTTCATGTACGTAATAAGCTGCTATAAATTTGCTGTTATAAATTTTTCGAGAAAATAATTTTAATATATTTTAAATATTTTGTAATTTTAAAATGTATTTGATATATTTTGTACGATAAAAAATTGAAAAAAATATCATTTAGAGATAATAGTTAAGATTATATTTGTAACAAGAATCAGTACATATAATAATCTGTCGAAATTGATAAACTTGTCAGATTTTCTCTAGCTCCTATAATTATTATTTAAATAATAGATAAACACTAATCATTATATAATATTAATACTTTAACGTGTAAATTATTTGTTTATTATTTTATTTGCACATTAAATATAGAATTTTTGACATGTTTATAACTTTTTTACGATTTTCTCTTTGTTGTTTATATTTCTGCTTTGTTAACTATGCTAATCATTTAATGAATATATATATGTATATTACTAACTATAAGTTACTTACAGCAAGCACCACAGATTCGGAGCCTTCCAAAAACAAGATCCAAAATGCCACGTTCATGTCTTATTCCAATTTGATCAGCCTATTCAACAAATACATTTGCTAACTTGTTTAAATTCACAAGTTTTTTTGAATATAATTTAAGTAATAGTTTTTTTCTTCCTAAGCTTCTCTTTATAAATTAAAAATGTAAAAAAAATAACAAACGAAGATGTAATTTTATGCAAAATTGAAATATTACGTTATTAAGAGAAAACATTTGAATAATATTTGCTATACGTGTCAAATAGTCGTAGTTTATGAAAAAATATAAAAAATTGTAAAAATGGGCCACTACAATAAAAATTAGCACAGCAAAATTGATATTGCAGAAGCTTACGGTATCATCGATGACGTGTTCGTTGCAGTCGGTTCTTCCAAAATTTACCACCAAGATACATATGAGGTACCTGATATAGTCTTGCAGCTTCATGACTTTTCTGTCGGTAGTCGAGACGATACTGACTTCACTTAAACAACTGGTTTGTGTCGTATAGCGGGACTATCGCGTCGCCCGCATCCTGGGACACTCTCAAGAACGCAAACTGAATATCATACACATCCCGTACGTTTCATGTTTACGCTTAAGCTTGTATTTGATTCTACCGTTGTATTCATTTCGTTTTTTTCTATTTTATTTCGACCTGTGAAGTCGGCGAGCAACCGGTTCGCGGGTCCCGTTACATCGTTCTCAGTATCACACTCAATATGTCACTTATATCAATAAAATTCGTTTGATGTCTTTGATATTTGAGAATATATGAATAAGTAATTAAGCAGAAAATAATATAAATTTACACATTTACAGTAATTTTCTAGTGTTCAATTTTATGTAAAATTTTTTCTTCTTCAATAAAAATTTGTGGTTATTTATTGTATATATTTGATATTATAAAAAATTTCTTTCGCAAATATTAATAATGAAAACTAAAAATATTTGAAATACATTATTTTATACGCATCAATATGTAAAATATTTTTCTATAAAATTAATATATGATAAAATATATGTTATATATATTTCTTATGGCTGTATGTCATAAAATAAAAATTATCAATTAACATTTTAAAAATAATTTCTGTTTTTTCTGTATTATTATTTATTTTAAAAATCTTCAAAATTAGCAGAAATATATAATGTAAAACTTAAAATATGAAATAAAATCGTAGAATATATTTTATTCTAAAAAAACATATACATAAAAGAGCATTTAAAGCTAATTAATGCAAATGTTTATTACATTATTGTGTATAAAGAATTATAACAATAAACAATTTCTATAAAAAAGATATGACACTGGTAGCCTAAATCTATAATCTCAATCTCACTATAGTTAATTTCCTTGGCAACAGAATTAAGTATTTTAGCCTTTGGCTGTATTTTAGTAATAGCAAAAAGAATTATATGGTAAATATTACACGGTATAATATTATTTTTGCAAATGTGTCCCAATATAACAAATGCTGCGATGACATTGTATATAATACCGCATCTATTCATAATTTCATAAAATTGTTTCTAATCATTCACTTATTGCCGTCATTAAATATAAAACAGAAAGATATAATAATAAGTCTAATGAATAAAATGTGAAAATATTATACGAAAATTCAGATTATTTTTAACAATTCAAGTACATCAATTTCACATTTGGCGCAACGTCACTCTAAGTCTGCTAAATTTATAAATTATGCATAAAAGACCGTTACGAAAATATCATATACATCCTGAGAATTTAAAGAACTTATATATACAATAAGTGTAACCTTCGTTTGCTCTTTTTATCATGTTTACCATTAAGTATCGCCGGGTAATAATTAATTACCAGCATAATCAATTATGCTCGCAGAAACAGCCGTCCTTTGAATTTTTCAAAATCCAATCCATATATCGTGTAACTCTTGTATATACACCTGGGTAACCAGGTCTTGCGCATCCGTTACCCCAGGATACCACACCAATGAGTTCGTACTTCTTATCTTCGCGCTCCGCAATCAGAGGTCCACCACTGTCTCCCTGTAATGTAAAAGATTCTTATTGCTCAGTATTCCATTAATAATATTCAATGTAATAAAATAAGCTTAAATTATAATTACTGCACTCTTCTGCTGTATTTATTAATAATATGAACTACACTGATGCACGGTAAAACACATTTTGTCATGTACATCTTTCAAAATTCTTTTACTCACTATTGCAATTCTCTAGTTTTAATTTATTTCATACAAATATTGTAGAGAGCATTACCTGACATGAATCTTTTTGTCCTTCAAGATAACCCGCGCATAGCATGTTGTCTGAAATCATTCGGGCACTGTAGCTGGTATTACGACATTCTTGAAGACTCATGACTGGAACTTCGACTTCTTGAAGAAGGCAGGACGGTTTACCATCCTCTTTCAATGTACCCCAACCTGACACGATTGCTTTTGTCCCTACGTATTCGTTATCTAAAAAATAATTTTTCATTAATGTCTGATAAATAATTAATCACGCATTTAACGCACGGCGATTAATTGTAACAACAATAATTCTATCAAAATAGTAAAATATTATTTTTTACATTGTCCTTAAGTAATATTGGCTAAATTTAAATTTAAATATATATTTAATAATATAACAATATATGTTTGTTAATGCAAATCTGTGATTAAAAGAATTTCAGAAGCAATCAATTTTCTTACGAAAATTATAACTAAAAGAAAGTTAAAAAATTCTCAAATATATCATGTACATTATTAATGCAAATATGCTATAATGCCGGTAAACAGGGCAGGTAAGTGTACCATGTCATGCTGCGCAAATTCACGAAAGATTATTGCGTGCATTCGAAATGCAAATTCAAGTCCTCAATTTCAGAGAAATCTTCATATTACGCAGTTATATGTGCGACGCGACAGTACATTACAACTGAGAGTAGGTACCCGTATATTGACTAATTTATGGTTCTGCTATCGCGTAATCGTCGCATAATAAACATGACGGCTAGTCGCAGGATCGCGCAATATTATCCAATATTACGCTCGGTTTCATAAAAGTGCACTGACCAAAATTAACAATCGTGAATGCACCGGGCATAAAATTATTGTGACACACGCCGAAAATAGATATCGATAATGCATTCGACATATTAGGTTAAGACTTATAGTGGCTTATAGTGGCTGCGTATCTTTAATAAAACTTATGAATTTATCTGTCAAACATAGAAAATTAATGAAGTATGTTGTCAAAATAAATTTGAGTGTCATTATCATTACTATAGTAAATTCTCACAATACATTTGTAATAAATGTGTTGTCAGTCATAATTTTTAATTATAAAAGTCATGTATTTAAAGTTATAATTTTTGTAATTGTTAGTTTTGTGCGTCTTAATTGATAAGGAGAAAATAAATGCACTCACATAATGGTGATGCGATTTTTATAAAAGCATTTCTACCAGACATTATTTATCATCATCTTATCACACCTTCAGAAAAAAAAGAAAAGTTTACCTACCTAACATTGTTGGTAAGCATATCGGTCGTATCGTATCGCTCAATGGCACTCTTTCATTAAGACGAAGCAGCGCGATATCATTTTCAAAATTCAGAAAACTGAAGTCACCAGTCATAATGCGCACTACATATCTGGTTTCCGGTGCTTTCTCGATACATCTGTCATGTTCCCCGAAAGTAACCTTGATCATGAACCACATGAATCTGAAAAGAAGACTAGAAGAACTGATCACATTCGTCTGGCGAATGAGATTGCGATGGGGGAACTTAGTTAAAATTGAATGAACCTTACAGAAAATTTTTCAATTTAATTTATTCAATAATGATTATCTTTTTCTTACATCGACTTGATTACATGGTCTGAAATTTCTACTTCAGTATATTTCTATATGAAGCTTAAACTGGTTTCTAACCAGTTCTTTAAAAAGTTATATCATTAATAAATTTTGTAATTTTATTTGCACAATTAGCAAATAGTTTGCAAATTATGTTATTAAGGAAAAATATGCGTAGAGGATAATGTATTTAATAAGTGTCATATTGAGCACAGGATGTTTCAAAAATTTGTATTTTTAATTCCCAATCTTTCCTCTTCCCATTTATTATATATTGAATGCGAATGAGCTTATTAAATGATGTTTCTGTTTACATAATAATTTATATGTTATTCACTTTATTAAAATAAATATGTGGACAATTTTAAGTCTCTTCACATTGCTATTTACAGATGACTAAAAATTTTAATCGTCAACAGTAAAATAATTTAGTATTCCTTCACTTCAGTATAGAGGGGCTAACGGCACTAAAAGTTTTTCTCGTAGCATAACATTAATCAAGGATGCAAATATGAAGTTTGACCTGTTTGCTTGTCGAGTAGACGATGCCAACAGCACGAATAGCGACAGTGGCGATTTTATACTTACAGTTATTCTAATTCATGGAAATACTTTGAGTATGAAATAATTTTACTTACACCAAGAAGATAAATATCTTTTGTTAAAATTTATATATTATTTCCCATTATTATTATTACAGTTGAGTTTTTTATTTCTGTTATTGTTAATAATATCTATTGACAATTTCTAGATATGTTTTAATAAAAAAATACCATATCAACATTAACAAAAATTTTAATAACAGTAACAGACGGTACTATTAAGATCAAATTTTAATACCAATTTTTACTTCCACTAGATGTGTGATATTTATAAGCCATACCTACCCCTTTACGCAGTGTGCGGCTGTGAGGACGTAGCGATCGTTTATAAGTGTACCTCCGCAATAAAACTTGTTTAAGTATGATAATCTAGCCATCCATGGAAACTCATTCATACTCGTCGTTTGACCTCCAACTATACGACTTTCTTCGTTCCGTAACCCACAACCTAGATTGCAATGATCGAAGTATAATACATTTTCCTTCTGCGCTGTCTTTTACGACATTATATCTAATAAAAATAAAATTTAACAAGAAATATATATAGTAAAATACACACTACAGTAGCATGGCGCAGGTGTATCATTGGTGTAAGGTGGCTTATTACCAAAAAGTCCAAAGAAATTCTTCACCTTTTCGTTGAATGTTTCAGCCTAAAATCAAAATAATTATTTAACGATGCGCTTTATTGTAAAATAATTTTTAAGAAAACAGAATATATAATTTTATTTTATTTGTGAATCTTAGGTATAAACAGATAGACATAAGATGTATAAATATTTTATTTACAGTTTAATTAATTTTATATAGATAATAAGTAAAATAAATATAAACAAAAAATTGTTACGATGTATTATTTTATAATTTTATTACATGTACAATTTTCGATTAATTTGATAAGCTGTCAGAACAGTTTAAGTTTTAATTTTGTTAGATATACCTCAATTGTAATTGTTTTTGATAACTTTTGACAACTTTTATTGATAACTTCTTGACTCTTTATTTACTTTACTTTTATTTAACATTAAAATTATTAGAGGTGTTAGAATTAAAATTCTAACAATACATTTTTAGCAATTCAGATTGTTTTTCAGATCTGTCAAGACACACAGACACACCCACATACACATATACATACATCAATCAATCAATGATATTAGACATTATTCACAAAGAAAGTTCTTACCTCACATTTTTTCGTTATCGAAAGGAGAATGAATACTAAAATTAAGTAACACAAAGGCTTCATGTTCTGCGACTTGATTGAGTAACTTGTTTCACCGTTAATTATACACTTTCAGCTTTAATTAGGTCTTTGTGGATATTTGAAAGAGTTGCCACACGGGCACCGTCAGGAACGAGTCATGGACATGTCCCTGACTGAGAGCGACTATCACCGGCGTCCTACGCCGACTATGGAGGACTGAAGAGGTCGAAGAGGTAATTGCTATTCCGGAAGGGAAGGCGGGCACAGCCGGCCGGCCGGTACCTGACCAGTTCACGTTCATGTTCAGGGTCGAATCACGGGTGACTGTTATTGACCGTCATCAGGGCCACGACGAGAAATTATTATACTCAAAGAGTTAATACTGTCATCTACGCTATAAATTTTTGCATCAATAGAAATGCAAAAATAATATCTTTAAATTTTTTTATTTGATGTTAGCGTTTCAAATAGTTTATTAAATAGTTTAATCGCATAATATTTTCTTTTCGCAAATTTTTTAAATGGACAGTATGTTAAGAAAGAATGTATGACATACATTAAAATGTACTTTTCTGCAAAATAATAATTTTTAATTGAGTTTGATTAAAACGTACATCTTTGCGCAACTTTGCAATGCATCCCAACGTATAATTGTGTGAATGCATAATGAAACAAAAGAGAGTGTGGAAAGAAAAGGTTGTACATAAATGCTCATCTTTATTTTATCATATGCGCATACGCATTTGGTGCGTCATCTGAAACCGTTTGGCAGGCGCATTTTACTAACAATTTGTTTTAAATGAACATCTCGACGACCAGCTTTAGAAGAAGAAAAGTAGTCCTATTAGTATACTCTGAAATCCTGTTATTTTCATTTTTTATCAGAATTTATAACGAAGTTTTCGTTGATTCCTATCTATACTACTAATATTATATTATTTCTTAGAACTTGTTTCGATTGGAGAATCAGGTTTAGCAACTAACATCATCGTTATTATTAACCACCTATTTACATATATTTCTATAAAAAATACAAAAAATCAGTTTTAAGAAGATTGTAGTATCATACATTTCAAGTTTTCTTTGTTTATTGCTAATATTATTGTAAAATAACATTTTGTCATACTGATTGTAAGTCTATCATGCTCAGAAGCATATCTATTACATTCTAATCTTACACTTAAGAATAATAAGTAACAAATATATATGTGTAGATTTAATTGTTTAGTGTTATACATACAGGTACAATATTGAATTATAATAATGAGTAATAATTCAATAATAATTACTTTAGAAAGAGAAACATATATAGTACAATATATATTAATTAATGATTTTTGTACTCATGTTTATGATTTTAATTATTTTCACAAGTATATAAAGGCTACTGTGTTATTATATATAATAATAAAATATGCGGCAATCTATTATTTCAAATATATTTTGTGTTTGTTAACGCATTTTTAATCTTTTGCAAGTTTATACATATTATAACGTATACGCACACGTATTATGTACACGTAACAGGCAATATCAGTAATTGACTAACATAAATTACACTATCTTGTATTATGTACAAATTACTAGTTGCGCATACAAAGATGCTATTGCACGTGAAGTGCATTTTACATGAGTCAACTTTAGCCCAGTTTGACACTGAACCGTTACTGGCTGCTGATTATTCCGGAAACGTTCGACCGCTATTCCTACGGTGATAGAAACGTGTGAAGCGAGCTAAGCATAGGTGTGTGCTCTAAATTTTAGTTAAATTAAATTTTCTACACAAAAATCTATTTCTCACATTTGCGTACGTAAGCAATGGCTAATCTAATAACGATAATAATGGCCTCTATACAAGGAACTATATTCAATAATATAGTATTAATTTAATAAAAAAGAATTTTTCTCAATTCCCAAATAGGTCGTTTACAAATGATAATGCAAAACGTGCTCGTCACAGCGATTAATTACAATCGTAGCATGTGAAATTTTATATACAAGGCGGAGGTGAAAGCAGGTCCTCAATTGACACACAGACAGCCTTCCTTCATGTTTGCGTGGATCCATTTGAGATATCGAGATACTCTCGTGTAAACTCCGGGATAACCTTGTCTACCACAGCCAACACCCCAAGAAACTATACCTATATACATTTAACATACACATAAGTCTCAAATGAACAAGAATACTTCGACAATAAGACAGTTTCTGCGAATTTTCACATTTGCATAAATATAAAGCTATTCGGAGATAAACTTTATGCAATATGCTAGCCTGAATAATATAAAAAGCATTAATCATTAATTGTAAATTAAATACTATTAAAAAATTGTATATATTATTATAAAATATAAATGTTTCACCTGCTATTTCAAGTTTATCGACATCTTGAACGAGGAGAGGACCGCCGCTGTCCCCTTGACAAGAGTCCTGGTTATTTCGACCGGCGCAAATCATATTTTCGGTAATTCGATTTGCTCGATATTTCATTTTTCGACATTGTGCCAAGCTATATATAGGGACTTGCACTTCTTGAACTTTTCCAGGTAGCATGCCTCCTTCCGAAGTACGACCCCATCCTACCACCGTACCTTCTTTCCCAGCAGGATCGGCTCCTGCATCAAAAATACAATATTTAACGTCTTGGAAAAGATTATGATTGAATTAATTCAATGAATATTACCTGGTTGAGGTAAACAAATTGGTCGAATCTTCTTCGAAAATTTCACGGACTTACGTAATTTTAATAAGGCCACGTCGTGATTGTAGGAATTCATATCGAAATTTCTATGACGTATTACAACACTCACTGCTCTCATAATAGCAGTTCCATCAGTATTTACATATTGATCGTAATCGCCGAGTACCACTCGAATTTTCGATCGTTTCAAACTAATTGTAAAATAAAAGTATATATTAATTAAATCCGATACATTCGATAGAACCAAAATGTAAATAAAACACATATGCTTTTTTTAATATTTAAGATTATATTGTATCAAAATTTTTGCAAGACACTTAATGACGTTTATAATAATTACGTTATAAAGTCACTTTTAATAATTTTGTGATACTATCAATTTATTGCATTTATATTATTGTTATTATTAACGTTCTAGTTTTATTTATTGTATTATCTATAAACTTATTGAGTGGAGACATACTTCCGTACGCAATGAGCAGCAGTAATTACATAATCATTGTTAAGCAGACTAGCACCACAGTGGAAACGACCATCGTACACCAGTCTCGCAATCCAAGGATATTTATAAGGTAGCGTAGGACGTCCCCCCACTATTCGATTCTCTTGATTAGATAAACCGCATTCTAAGGCCAATGTCAACATTTAAATGTTTTTAATATTAAAAATTTTAAATTTAATTGAATCAATTAATTATTATTATGATAACAAAGATAGTATAAAACGATACATCACGTAGGCTGAAATGTCATAATTTAATCATTTAATTAATCATAAATTATTTACATATTAAAAAATGTTAATATATAAAAAAATAATTAATAAAGTAATCATGACACGGGATAAAAACAATTCAATTTGTAAAAGAAATTCTTACCGCACGTGCAGTTTCTTAGCCTTTCTTCGTCTGAATCGCTATCAAGAATGTCGATACCGAATATTTCATCAAATAAAAATCTTCCGGTACGAGTTTGTGAACTATTCATGGAATTTTCCTGGAAGAAATATACAATTAACTAGTGCCATTCAAGTGCGCTCACTTTCCACTGCAAATGCGACATAAACGATGAGAGAAAGTAACCATGATCAGAATAATAGGTCAAGGCCTAAGCTGCTAAATTATCTTCACAGGCTAACTAAATATCTCGTGCGCGTAAGCATTGCGTGCACGTAATATTGACACAAATCTTTTAATCCTGATGACTGATTGATTGCAACCGTTACTTAAACACATCTTGTCTCATTCAATGGATTGTATAATAACATAGCGTCGTATTCTAATTGTAAGTAACATCAAGAAATTACTTAAAAGTGCCTTAAATTCTCTAATTAAGAGCCTTGCGTTTAGAATAATTTATAAATTATTAACAATAATATTAATAATGAAAAAACCTTTTTTATGCTATTGTGCCAGTTACACAATAAAAATTATTCAAAAGAGGTGTATACATATTTCATAAGCATTTGTTATAAATGAGAGAAAATTAATAACATAATTATTATATATATCAAACTCCATTTAACAATTTATTATTCGACCTTATAAGATTTAAAAGAGATATATTACATATTTCGTAAACATTTGTTATAAAACAGAGAAAATTATAGTAATATAATTATTATTTATCAAGCTCCATTTAACGATTTAAATTTGATATAAAAAAAGTCTCGATATTCTTGTTAAGCTAACTTATTTTCATGTCTCACTGGTACAATTGAATCAGTATACTCACAGTAAAAGCAACTGGAGCCACTATAATTTCCCGACGAAGTCCATAGCCTTCAATTGGTACCGATATAAAAAACGTCATGATCAAGATTAAGATCGAGAGATTGCTACAGGTCACGAGTAAAGGCATTTTTCCATTTGTCGTTCAAAATACACAAATGTCGTTCTGAATCACGGCTGCGTTCTTCCTTTCATCGATGGAGCACCGCACATCACGTGTTTTGCTGAATTCCACGACCGACATACATTATAATGAGTCCGTACGAACATTCGGCCACAATTTTATTCTCTGGCGCCGTTCTTTTTGCCTCACGAATTTTACGGAGAAGCTGCGGATTCTGGTTTCGTCAAAGATCACCGTCGCTCGCGCGCACGCTTTCACCGTAGTTCCACAAAGAAGTCGAACTGATCGACCGAGAGTCAGCCGGTCTTTATGGTTGCGAAGAAAGTTCTTCTTTCACTGTCGCGCTGCCACCATCGCCACCGGTCCTATTCAGTACACGTGGCATAAACGTGGTGAATTCTTTCAATTTGGAATCATAATGTCTTTCGTTTTCACGTAAGAATGGAAAGCACGTATGTCAATGGAAGATTTCGCCGTATGCTATGTCGCTTCATATTGTTTCTTATGTGATTTAACAGTTATCTCAATCAATTATCTTAATTTATTTTTCTTGAATAATTTTAAAGCAAATCATAAAGATATACATCTCTCTTTGCATGCGTTTTTACTGATGTTTTTTCTCTTTTTAGGATTTTTTTTCCTTAAAGAGGGAAAGGATGTTAACTTATACAAACATGTACATCTTTAAGATTTTATGATATTATCTAAACAGCTGATTAAAATTATAGGAACTATTGATAAATAGTTTTGAAAAAAAATGATCTTGAAACAAAAAAATCTATTGTTAAAGTTTCGGCTAGCAACACATATCATATACATTCATTTAACCCTTTCTACAAAATTCGAAATATATGTTTGTGATGTGTTAAAAAAATTTTTCTTTCCACAATCGAGGGAAAACAGATAATATTATCAAATATGAATATAATATTATTAATAACGGGAATCTGTGAACTAATTTGGACAATCAGCTAATCTTATACATAAGATGTAAATAAAGAATGATTTTTGTTGATTGTGAGATAAAACTAAATCTCAAAGATAAGATGTAAAGATAAACTACCAAATATTGATTAGATATTTTTAATTCATATGTGAAAGATTATATATAAATAGAAAGTAAAGAATTTTAATTTTTTATATAATATTTATTGGCCAGATATCACGGAATTATATTTAATACTACTGTTATTAATACTAATAAATGTTATAAGATTTATTAATGGCATTATGATTATATTTGTTAGGTTACTATATAGTTAATACTTAATACACATTACTTGGACTATTTTAAGATTGTTAAGTCTGTAGATAAAATTATTTTTCTTTTTACGGAGTATATTTATTGTACTTTAATTTGGGAAGAATCATGCGGTGCAGATAACGGTTTGAAGGTTTCACTAACCCACATTCATCGTTGAAAGCAAAACATCTCAGACCGCTGACCTGGTTTGCTTATTGCACGTTTATGTAAATATTAAATTATTTTTTCGATTTCTTTATTAAAGTAAAGCTAAATAAGACAGGAAGAAGAGAAAGGAAGAAGGTTAGTTGTTTTGTCTGTTTAGGGTTTTTTAACTGAAAACCGATTTTATGGTAAATTATTTATAATTCTGACATTTTTATATACAATATAATATTAAGAACATAAAAGTTAATTATGTTTTTGTTATTACACTTTTTTTTTACTTTACAAGACATTTGTAGCACACAGTTAATATCGCAGAACATAAATATTTTATTATATACATTGGACTAGATGCACGTAATTATATATGTATATTAATAATTATAATAAATTAATGGCGCGAAGATATATACAGTAACGTGATAATAATGATTCTAGAAAAGTAGCTAGATATAATTTTCATATGTTTATACAGTATGAAGCTCGTAAAACATATAAGATATTTGAAATATATATAAGACAAATTAGACATTTGTAATCAAACTAAAATATGAATTTAAAATAATGTAAACATCTTCTCTATTATTTTCTATTTCTCTCATAAACTTAATGATCACTTTAATAAATACTAAAATAAATACTAATATTTTTACTGTTTTTATGATAATTATGTCCACGTGATTTTATAACCAAATAAGTAACAAACTTATTTTATTGTCGATGCGGTGGAGGACAAATGCATTCGTCATCTAAGTGATCTTTAAGCCATCCCATGTAATTCGTCAGTTTTGTAAATATCCCAGGAAAATTTGGACGTCCACACCCACGTCCCCACGAAACGATTCCTGCACGCAAAAAAATGATTTACATTAGTAACAGTAGCTAAATTTCAATAACTGAATCAAACTTAGCCATAAGAGCTACCGCCTTAGTGTCATTGCTAAGTTTTGGCTATTATAGATAAAAAACATTTATTGTGACAAAAAAATTTATTAACTAAAATTAAAAGCATATATTAGTACAGGCAGCCAAAAAGATGGCATGCGTACCTAAATGTCTTATCATGCACACATTTAGCACACAGAGCTAAGTTTATAGCTACGTGCGAAAATTTAATTTGTAATTGTTTTTGTAATGTGGCACTGCCATATGCTCATCTACAGTACAATTAGCATTTATATTTTGCAGTATATAAGCTACATACTGCAAAAATTGTTACTCTATTGCAAAGATAAAGTATAAAATGCAAAGACAAACATAAAAATTAAGGAAAACGTTTAAATTGTTATGAGATTATGATTAAAGAAGACCAAGTAAAAGATCGACATCGTTAGTTAGTATTAATTATTTATAGAGAATTAAACGAAGTTATTAATTATCAAACTTAAGAATTAATTTAACAGTAATTTGCTTGTCTTTAGTCTGTCCATGCTTTATTTTATTTTAAAAATAAAAATTTTTTTATTTAACATTGTAACATAACTCACATGATATTTCATCTAGCTCTTATATAAAGACAAATGTATTTCATTATTTAATAGAGAGAAAATTATTTTAGAGTTAAAATTAAATTTTAAAAAATTTAAAGTTATCAATAAGATAAAGTTTTAGTTTATTACATACGTACCTACTACTTCAAGTTGTCCATAAATTCCTTTAACATGTAAAGGACCACCACTATCGCCCTTAAAATAATAAGAAATAATATGAAAAAAATTGTGTTTATTTTTTAAAAAGTTTAAAGGTTCAAAAGTAACAATTGTTCTTACTTATTTCAAACTGTGGTTAACACTTACGAAACAAGCATCGCGTCCTCCTACCGCGCCTTCCGGATGTAGTATGTACCCGGCACAAAACATATTTTCGGTGATGCGACTTTTCTCGTATCCAGCTTGATCGCATTCCTCTTGTGATAAAATCGGCAAATTTACTTTACGCAATTCGTCACTTACCGGCTTGGTCTCGCCCGTTCGACCCCAACCGACGACCGTAGCGAGTGCACCAGTGTAATCAATTGTTTCTGCAATGTTTTAATTCTAATGTCTTCTATGGTCGATTGCTCAACACGGATTGATCAACATGGATTCTATTGACATATAACTTATTATCAAAATTTTTATCAAAGTGTAATTTTAATTTGGAAACGTATTATTAATTCAAAACTTATTCAATAAGAATTATTAACAATACAGCGATGCATATATATTTATTGACTATCATTGCAAATAATAGTTTAGATATCATTCAAATGAATATACAAAATGACAATACTTACACGCACATACTTGTGCGTAATAATGTATAATAGAAACATATGTCAGATAAAGAAAGAATAAATGATTAATAACACAATCACTAAAAAAAATTTAATGTTTGATACAAAGATTAGATCATGGTATTCTTATTATTTTGTATTTTGACGCCCCAAAACAAAATCTGATGTCCAAATTGCTCCGTTATATCACATTTTTTTTAAGTAAAATAGTTCGATTTTTCAATATTTTTAGCGTCATTTATGGCTTGATTTTAATATGCAAGCTGGTAAATTAAAAATGACTGCACTACTACACAGAAAGAACAATGTTACTGAAAAGTCTAAAAATTTTGCTGGATACAGATCTGAAAATAATTTTGTTAAAAATTCAAATTGCTAAAATATCAAAACATTTTACAACAATGCTCATTATTCAAGTTTCCAACAAAATTATTCTGATAGTCCAATAAAATTATTTTCAGGTTTGTATTCAGCAAAAATTTTTTTTACCTTCCAGCAAAATCGTTCTTTTCGTATACATATCTAAATTAATAAAGGATGGCATATGCCATATGAGATATACGGATACATATTTACATGTATGTAGAACTATTTATAAGCATAAATATGTTGCGGCATTGCTGCAATAGTGTCATATCTCGAAAAATGACATTTTTGAGTTATTCATTGGAAAAAATAGATTTTGACGTGTACTTTTATCTGGTGAATAACTTAGAATTGTCAATTTTCGAAATATGACACTATTGCAGCAATGCCGTAATATATAGTATATATGAATATTTTTAAATGAGTGTCTCAAGTTAATTGATCACTCCCAGATGACCGTGTCTCTCTCTTTTTCTCTCTCTCTTGGTAAGAATACCATGGTCTCATTTTTGGATCAAGCGTTAAATAGTTTTGTGTGTTTGTGCAGTAATGTACATATCTTATTAATATTAGATGTAAATTACTTATTTATTATGTAACTTACTGTCTTCTGGTAAACATGCCGTTCGTACAATACCATTTATAGATACAGGCTGATCCATCTCAATGATAGCGATATCATTATCATATGTATAACTATGAAAATCTTCGTGAATGGCTGCCGATTTAATACGTCGAACTATAGCGTTTCTGCCTAATGAAGAACGATCGCTATCCATCAAAACAAGTTTGATGGTTCTAATGTCAAATCTAGAAATTATTTTAATCATGTGTAGATATGTTATAACATAATTTTCGAATTAAATACATATAATCTGTAATTATATGCAACTTCTAACTTCTCTTCCTTGATACATACCCTTGCAAACAGTGAGCGGCAGTGAGTACATGCTTCCTTGATATTATACTTCCAGCACAATAAAATTTGCCCCTTTTACTCATGCTAACTAGCCAGGGATAATCATAAACGCTGGTGACATTGCCGCCGACAATTCGTGTTTTTCGTCCAAGACCGCAAACTGTAGTGCATTAATTCATGCTTAATCAACTTGAATAATCAATGTAATTGGGGCAATTTTATTTGGCACATGCTAATTATTTAAACTAATTGTTTTGTGCACCACTAGGAAGGATGATGTTATTTAATTAGAAGTATATCTATTAATTACGAGAAAATAAAATTTTTTAAATTAAATATTTTAATGTGTGAATCTTCATGTATAAAATTATGCAAAGAAGAATATTTTGGTGCTATCACTTTGCTTTATATGTCAATTTCGTAACACTACTCTAAATATAGATGTTTTTTATTTGCATATTATATATTTATAACCGAAACAAATTATTACACATTTCTTTGATTGAAGTTGGAACTTGTGTGATTGCATTTATTATTGCTCGAATAGAAAAATATAAAAGATTTAAGATTATATATATATATATGTATGTATAATGTTTCTCTATAGTGTTTCTTTCGTCGACTTCTAATTAAATGTATGATGATCAAATACGGTGTTAGCTGAAATATTTTTATTTACCGCAATCGTTGCAAACATTCGGCTTTTTAAAAGGGAATGTAAACGCAGGATCGAAATCGACGTAAGACACCTCGTCTATTGTCGGGCGAATAATTTCAGCATTTGTGATATTATAGTGCACTTGAGCATTTGAGGTAGGCAAATTCCTGTTGTTCGACAATATCTACAAACGAAAGAATAATGAAAAGAGATATTTCAATACTAATTCTATGTGTTTCTTTTCGCAAATCTTGTAATAAAGTATAATTGACATTAAAAAAAAACAATGAAGAAGCCATATGTATATCAATATTTTTTTGGAAAATATTTTATTGGAAAATTATTATACAAATTAATACAAAATTATATAAAATATTTTTCAATGGTACTTTGTGCACTTTATTTTCGAAAAGAAATACATTTCTACAAAAAATAAAATTATAAAAAAATGGACAAACTAATATTCTCTCTTTTTCTCTTCCTTAATGAGTACATTTTTACAGTTCGCGCATATAGTACAGCATAAAGTTTAATACAAATTACGAAAAGAATTAAATTAAAGTAAAGAAAGTCATTAAAAATTAATAATTTGTTTAAATTAATTGTATATGTTAATCTTTTATGGTTCTTATGTTTTCGTTCTGTTATTTAATGTAAATTTAAATTAACAAAAACAGGATGTTGTCACTGTTACTGTATTTAGCGTTTTCTCAAAAATGTTATACATCTAAATAATAATTATTTAACTCACCACACGAGGCAATGCATGACAGCAGCTCAGGCATAGAAACAGCAAAGAAACAGAAATGTATCTCGCTCTTACGCAACCGTCCATGCCGTATGGTTTCCGGTTTAATTAATACGCGCCAATCGGTGAATTTGTTTTGTCGCAAAATTCGGTCCCGCGCACGTGCTTACACCCGTAGCGTGAAAAGTCTACAAGTATCTCGGCCGTTTTGCCGTTTTATAGTAAATTATAACTAATGAAAAAGCCCAGCCGCGTGCCCCGGTGGGGATCGTCAACCTTGAGTGGTGCGTTTGCATTGGCAGATGTTGCATGTGACAGCCTTTAAATCACCGGGTCGGTCGGTGTACGCGCCCGTTGTCTCACCTGCACAAGTACCGCCTCAGGTATAGGCAACAATGAGAGTTCGCGCGCGTACGCACAAGCGCGACGACGATTTTATGGCGCAATCGACCATCGGCCACCACGAACGTCCAATGTCAACCCGGTCCACCTCCTCTCACAGCGACCCTTCATTTCAGGGATCCACCGAGACTGGATCAATGTCAATTTCGTCAGCGGATGAACGCGAATGCCACCGCGCCCCACGGCCGTTCCGATTCACTGTCGCGGCATGATAATTACGACGACGCGGTGTCAGTGACAACGACGATGACGATGACGCGTCGTCATCGTCGTCGATAATGATGACTATAATGACGGCGATGGATCACTGTTGCTAATAAATTATGCGAGCAAATAATTGCAAGAATCTCGTTTCTTATCTCATTATGCTACGTGCAAAGGGCCGCCAAGATACTGAATTCTTATTTTTATCATTGTTCCGTGCGACACTTTCTTCAAATTTATTCATGACGCAAGGTGATCGTACCATCTTGGTATGGCTTCTTCATTGTTTTTTTTAATGTCAATGATACTTTGTTATGAAATTTGCGAAAAGAAACACAGAAGAATTAGTAATGAAATATCTCTTTTTACATATTTTTTCGTACCCCTTTTTCTCTCGAAAAGACTGATCTGCAATGTGATTTTTGTGCATTCGACATAAGTAAATAACTAAAGATTGATTAACCGAAAGATTGATCGTGATTATAACACGACTGAGACTCTTTTTTGGTGTGATATGCGTATGACAATAAACTCAGCAATTGGTCTTGTGTACTTAAGAGAAATAATCAGAAAAGTAATAAAAAATTCCGCCACAGTTTGTAAATCTATTACACGATATAACATCATAACACCATATAACAATTTTACAGCATGGATTATTTGAAGATCATGACAAAGTAAACAGTGGTGAGAGAGATAACCATTTTGATTTAAATATAACTAACATAAACGTTTTGTATTGAAAGTTTCTTAGAAGTTTTCTAATATCCGCTGAGTATATCACTGTAAGATTATGGTTGCTGCGGTTACAATCGAGCCAATGTAATAACGATTTGCCCTTGTCATCGATTTCATTGAGCTAGAACAAATCTGATGTAGCGTGAAAGGAAGAAGTTATACAATTTTCTCGGATTCTATTATAGGAATGCGGTTACAATCATAAAAATGCGACAAGTTCGCAAGCTAGTAAAATGTTAGTAAAATGCTTTTCAAGGAGTTTTAGTTATCAGAAAGAAGGACCAGAGGGATTTTTGGAGCAAACACACGATATGCGATAGATATAGAAACGCGCACAAGGAGAATTCCAATTAAAAGTGTCGGAATTTCCTCAACTGAATTGGTTCTGCGTCATTAATATTTAAGCATTTATTGACACAAAAAACCTAAAACTATCGTATTTCGCAATTTATTAACTTACAGATAATTTTACTTTTACTGCAAATTAGGTGGCATATAATCCCACCCCATGTAGGCCCGCATATAATCTTCAGTCAACGTTAAAATTGCAACGAAATTCGAGGTGAAATCCGAATAATATTACGATCTTTTCACAGAGAGAGAGAGAGAGAGAGAGAGAGAGAGAGAGAGAGAGAGAGCTCATAAAAAGTGTCAAACAAATCGAACTCATTAGAATTATTTATTTTCTAATTTTTTTCAATCACCGTCCGACAGACATAATACGTTTGCGATAAAAATATATTTCGAGAGTTTTCTTTTTTATTTTTGCATTTCTTATTTATTTTAATTATCATAGACATTCCATGTAACTAGGTCAAATTGTATCTTTGAAACAATTAGAGACGGAAAAAAATGTTAAAGATAATATTACTTTAAATATTTTCTAAAATGCTACGTATGATTGCATATTTCATTTATATTTCATACTACAATTCTTTTTCTTATTATATTTTAATAATTCTGTTGCACTTTTCTTTTATCTCTGCAACCTTAAACTCTACCTAGGAATTACATGTAATTATCCCTTAATATTATCTCTATGACAAATTTGTCATAGAGATAATATTGCCCGTGAAAAGATTATATGGTGGATTTAATCTGACCCTGAAGATACGTGAAAATAAAGCAAGGCTTCTGATAAAGTTAAACATCGAGACAATAAGGTAATGCGTCTCGCCCGCATGAGGGTCTCGTTACCTATATACCTTGACCCACTGTTACAGGTTACAGGTGGTGTACAATCTGTCTTGCCCAGCCGCGCATCTTATCTCGTTTGTTCAGCAATAATCGAAGTTATGATAAGTCGGATCAGACGAAGTGCCGATAAAGACAAAGATGGGAACCTGTCAAAGGATTTATCATTTTCCATGTCACGTGGAATATTATAAATGTATCGCCGTATGCAATGTAACATTTACGCGTATGTCATAATGCTAAAGATTTGTAAAAATGTATTTTTAAATAAATCCAAATGCACGAATTACAATAGCATTCATTAAACCATCAAATCTACATTTTCATAAGGAAGATGCAGGTAATGTGTGATTATTTATACATACAGTTATGCATAATATACATACATTTAATTCGATATATACAAAAATACTGATAGGATTTTATTTAAAAATTGTTTTTTATATTTAATTTATCCTATGCAATTTACAATTACCACATTTTATTTTATCTACAAAAACGCACTTGTTAATTCCACAATAAAATTCTCTCCGAGTACGTCCTCTCCGAATATGTTAAAACATTTAATAAATATTTTGTTTTATAATATAAAAGAATCTCGATAAAAAATATTTTTTTATAAAAATATTAAAAAAAATTTATCTAGAATTTTATTGTGAAAAATAGTGAATTTTTTTTTACGAAGCGTTTATTTTAGCTTTTGTATTTTTAATAAATTACTTTTAACTGGGACATTCGTTTTGGCCCTTTTTTTATTTTGAGAAGAGAAAGCACTAAATAAAGGAAAAGGAATTAACTGAACAAGATACATCATTTTTAATAGTTTTGCAGATCTCTTACGTGCTTACGATATTTGTTTGCGATGAATTTACATATCGCTAGCCTAAATTTTCACTTCTGCTACCGGCTTGTCCACTATTCCGTATAAATAAAGACGTGACACCGAATCGACGGCTTGTGTGAAAGTATATGCTGCCTCGGCAGGAAGTGCGGCGGATCATCAGATCGGTTTGATACTTCTTCCACAGTGCACAGTAAGAATTAACGTACAGCGGTGCTAAATTTAAAAGTGCAAGAAATAATGTTTCGGTTTATATTGTTCTTAAAACTTGTCGCAGTGGCGATAACAGTTGCTGTTGATAATGAGGTATTGTCGTTGTGTTGATGGTGTATAAGTGTCTTCGAATACATTTACAAATATTTATAGATAAATTATGAATATTTTTTTAAACTAGTTTATTACAAAATAATATATGAAAAAGTATATGAAAAATATATACAGAAATAAACACATAAACTTTTAGATTTATTATGTATTTTTATTTATATTTAAAAAGTGGATTGTTTTCAATAAATGATTTATTAAATACCGTCTTTTTTACAGACTACTTTAATATTAAATATTTATAACCTTATTGATGCAATTAATAATAGGAGTGAAAAATCTAAAAGAATTCGTATCTTTTATCGATTTTTATGTAATATTATAATCCATGATATAAAAAAATTTGTTTTAAATAACAGTTGCAGTCAAACTTAACTACATATGTGGAAGAACAAAACTTGAATAATACAAGTGGAATTGACAATGATAAAGGCTTCTGGGAATGGCTATTTGGTTCAGTGGCACCATATCCACCAACAATCATAGAACCTCAGCAACCAGAAAAATGTTTAAAATGCAGTATGTTTAAATTTAAATTTATTATCATTATTTTGTATTAATATTTATATTTATATTTTGGGTATTTTTACATTAAGCAAAATTAACGATTCATTATTATCTGATTTATTTCAATCAAATATTGATGAAAAAGGAAAACTATACATATATACAAAATAATTAGGTACTGATTCATTTACAGCTTGTGGTTTGACAAACAAACATAATCGTATTGTCGGCGGCGTCGAGACGCAGGTCAATCAATACCCTTGGATGGCCCTGCTAACATACAGAGGACAATTTTATTGTGGGGGTACAGTAATAAGTTCACGACATGTACTAACGGCCTGTCATTGCGTTCAAGGGTGATTCATTCATGCTAATTTTTTATCATCATTGAATATGCGTGTATGTGTGTGCAAAATGATTAATAATCGATCAGATTTTTCTTAATAGATTTGACCCGAATAAACTGACTATCCGAATATTAGAACACGACTGGAATTCGATCGGTAGCAAAATTCAGGAATTCCAGGTGGAAAAAATAATCAAGCACAGTGCTTACTCAACTGCGAATTACAACAATGATATTGCACTCCTTAAGTTAAAGGAGCCTATCACGTTCCGAGGTTCGATGCGACCTGCTTGTCTTCCGAAACAAGGTATCTCTTAATTTACGTATTCACATATATAAATGATATTGATTTTATTAATTGTAGGAAGTAATTCTTATTTGTTAAATATTAGATATCAAGTATCTTAGATCTTCTAGATCTTTAAAAAGTAGAAACTTTAAAGAACTGGAAACAATTTAAATTTGGTCACATTATTGATTACAAATTAATTATTTTTTTTAGAGAAAACCTTCGCCGGCAAAAAAGGTATAGTGACCGGATGGGGTGCCGTCAAGGAAGGTGGTTCGGTATCGCACACTTTACAGGAGGTTATTGTTCCTATTCTTAGTAACGCGGAATGTCGCGCTACGAAATACCCGTCACGTAGGATAACAGATAACATGCTATGTGCGGGTTTCAAGGAGGGAGGCAAAGATTCCTGTCAAGTAAGCAAAAAGTTGTAATTTGAAACAGTAAAAAAATAATAAGACTGCAGTTATATTTTTAGACTGTTTATCTTAATTAAATATATATTTTATAGCGTGTTTTAAAGTATAAAGGATATAAAATTTTAATTAAATTATGAAAATAACTGACATAATAAAAATGCGAGAAATAATAAGTAAAATTAATAAAAACGTCAGCGTAGATATCCAATACGTATTTTTAATAAATGTAAAATATTTGAAATTTAAAAAATAACGAGACAAATTTTCACACTATAGGGGGATAGCGGTGGTCCATTGCATGTAGAAGAGAATGGTGTTCATCAGATAGTCGGTAAGTTCAACTTTAAACTGAGTTATTGAATATAAGCGAAGCATCGTAAAAATTGTTAAATGTAAAAAAATACTTTAAGGAAAATCCGGAAAATATTCTTATACGAGAGAAGCTAAATTTTTTAAAAATTTTCTAATTTTATAGGGGTTGTATCCTGGGGCGAAGGATGCGCGCGACCTGGATTTCCGGGGGTTTACACTAGAGTAAACAGATTCCTCACGTGGATTGAACACAACACAGAGGACGACTGCTATTGTTGATATGCAATTTTTTATATAAACTGACCATAATTACTTTAGTTAATTCACATTTATTCATATTCATAACAACGGAAATTATGCAAGCTACAGAAACAATCAGTGGTGTATACATTATACAATGATACATATATAGATAACAATTCCTATACTGGATTGTACAAGTAAGAATTCATTGCATCGTGACTCGATAATTATTTAAACATATATTTCTTTACTTGTATTATATACGTAATACATATATAATACTTCACAGCAGCATATGTATAATATAATACAGTGAATTCTATACGCAGCATTGTGTATATACACAATAATTAAAAATTAAGGCACGTGCGTCGCTCTTCACTTTAGTCAATATTCGTAATATGTATACGTAAAAGAAGAAAGTGACAAGACTTTCTCTGTTTCTCGCAATCAAACGACTTGGAATTTCGGTGAAAACTCATATACATCTGTTTGTAACATCATTTACATCGCACGATGAACAGATGTAAAATGTACGCACGTTGTGTGCATTTTATTATTGATATATATCAATAAGATACACATTTTTAATTAATTTATACAATATATGTATAATAATTTTTTAATTACCATTATGAAACTTAGGTAATTTTGTTTATTGTATATGAAGTATATTAATAAGGACTAAAGAGTCAACAACGTGATTTTTTTACTAGACAAAACATGCATTTTTATAGCAATTACAGCAATATTTGTGTATGAATTTTATTTATTTTAATATTAAAATATTTTATATACCATCAGTGACTAAAAGTCCTTTAATTACTGCGTTGTCATCATCTGATAAATTAATTTCTTCCTTTGTTTCGTTCTTTGCCGCTGATTGCAGCCAATACGTCTCCATGTCTCCCTTTCCCTTTACATAATAAATAATATCATAATTATATATGTAATAAGTATATATAATATATGACATTATTAATTAGTACACTTTCATAATACAAACCTTTACCGAAACAACTCCACGTGATTCGGTATGATAACGATCTTTCAGTAATAGAGCTTTGGTGCTAGAAGAAATATGCACCTTTCCTGGCTACGCACCATTCAATGCCGTTAATCGGAATAATATAAGAATTCAGAAGAGAAAAGATTAAAAAATAGATTTATAAATGTTTGTATATCCTTTTTCAAATACAAATTGAAACTGTCATAATAAATACAATTTATGTAATTCATAATTTAATTACGTAAACCTTTGAATTATAGTTTCTTGATAACGAAATTATCAACTATGGATGAAGTCAATTAGATGGATTTAGATTTAATGTCAATTATGTAAAAAATAATTGCATTACCAGACTAGTGGTCTGCATTCTGGAGGCCGTGTTAACAGTATCTCCGAAGAAACAGTATCTCGGCATTTTGATACCGACGACCCCGGCGACCGCTGGCCCGGAATGAATTCCTGAGAAATTTTAAAATAAATATACTATTATCTCAATTAATTTCGTTATCCACTCGTTACATGCTTATCATGCAACACGAGCGCGGGTCAGTCTTCGTGAAGATAAAATTAACCGTAACGTCGAGAATTTAAAACGAAACCATGTCCCAAGAGAACGGAAATATATATGCAAGAAAATATATTACGTTCGGAAAGACGTATGGCTCTATGCCGTACGGTGATTACCTATGCGGATTCGTATATCCAGTCCAGAGGGTGATTTGAGGGATCGTACGTGCTCGATGAGTTGTAGGGAAACGTCGGCGACGTTCTGTGCGTGATTTTCATCTCTATCCGGTGCACCGCTGGCTGCCATGTACACGCGACCAACAGTCTCCACCTGTCACGATGTGAATGTAAATACAAAACGTACGATTGCACGTGTAATTGACGATATAGTAACTCAGATAAGCACTATCTTCGTATCTCCCGAACATATTATTGTTAATGTACAATAATAAAATAAATGTCACAGTGATACATATTTTTGATCAAATTAAGATATCTTTTAATAGTCATGTTATGTAATAACTTTAAACTCCACACTAAATCTCAAGTGGAATGATATATGGCATTTTCAATAAAATGAGTAATCTCACTTTGTACACGTTAAACTGATCCATCAGCGTATCGAAACAGGAGAAAACGGCGTTCATTGATAAAACGATGTCCATCGCTCCCTCGATCGTCGAATAATCGAAGTCGCATAATTCGCAGAAAAGAACCGTTATTGATTCAAAGGACTGCAAATAAAGCATTTTTTTAAGTAGCTAGTAAACAAGATAGAAAGTCGAAAAGAGATTTCGTGAGTAGATATTTGCACACCTCGCAAGTGCTCAATGGACTGGCTCCGGCTCGCAGTCGATCTGCCACTGTTTGCGGAATCATAGAATATAAAAGCTCGTCGCTCTTGTTCTTCCATCGATCCAGCAACGCATAGCTGTTTTCCAGTTCCGTCGATCTCTGCTCTGCCCTCTCGAACATCATTTCCAATCTGTAAATAAATGATATAGGCTATAATATAATCCGAAGAATTTTACAAAATGTACTCAATTTTAGATAAAATAATCTTTCTTCGATTATTTAAAAACACTAGACTAGACCTTCCGCAGTGCTGCCATCCTGCCAACACCAGTTCTTTGCTCATACCGTGGGGATTCAGATCATTCAGATACAGACCCATATTAAGAAGTTCGTCTAAACTATTGATTCTATTGCGGCATAAGATAAACGATAACAAATCAATTATTCTATGGGAAAGAGTAATCATGGTAGACATTAGAAACTTACAAAGGACTACAGAGAAATATAATAGCTTTAATGTCCTCGATGTATCTCATTTGACCCTTCAACAAGATACTTCTCGCACCTTGACTTCCACGTCTATCCAAACTACTGCTTGTGCTTGGCATATCGTTCGAATTTATCGAAGAACGATGATCGTTTGCTCTGATGAGTTCCAATTCGAATATCACTGAATGCAAATATATTACCTAAAAATGTAACATTAAATAAATTCATATGTGTATTTGCACGTTATATTCGTGCACATGTATATAATCTATTATTAAGTACAATTGAAAATGTTATTCTAATTTGCAGAATTAACGTTACAGCTTTTCAAGCACATATAATTTGTATTACTTACATTCCCCCATGTAAACGAAATTCCCTTCGGTCTTCTTAATTTGAATATTTCTGTAACGTGTCTGTTTAAAATGGACGTGGTGCCACCCCATGCTTGAAGCAATTTATCTCCTGCTCCTAGTATTTGCATGTTCTTGTTTATGACGACACCAAAGGGAAAGAGGCGTAAGAAAAATGTACAAGATACAGGCGACAATTCACGGCTTAACGGGGTTTTCATTCTATTGTTTTTCGCGATCTGATTTTCAATATAAAAATTGTAGCATTAAATTGAATGTCAAATGTATTAAAAATATTATAACTATTACAGTTTAATAAAATTTAAATTAACAATAAGCACATAAATATAACAAATAGTAAAAGTATAATTAGTACTTTAGAAAAAAAGAAAATACAATCAAGTCTAAATTTAAAACTTACGTATTGCTGGTTGTCGAAATTAATACGAAATTTAACCATTACGCTTCGAGATCCTGGAATATTATTTGAAATTTCTAATACTTTAATATCCAGTTCTGTATTATATAAGTCTTCTGCTATTTGAAATAATTGTCCTACAAAAAGTAGAACATCATATTATGTATGTGATAAAAAATATTATTAATCTAAAAATTTACTTTTAGCTCTATAGCCTTTCATTTATATACATATGTATAAATAGGAACGTTCTGATAATATAATTTTTTTCTTATATTTATAATATAATATAAAAGAAAAGAATTCTTACCCATAAGATAATGCGTGAAACCTTGCCGTGTACTTCTGTAAATCAGAACAACACCCTGTGGATCGACATGTGTTGTATACATAGAGGGACTTTTCATTTTTGGATACGTGAATCTCATTTGCATGTGAATATTATCTACGCTTTGTAAAAAATCACAAAAGTAACGACCAGTTGCTTTTATAGTGCAATCATACCTAATAAAATAAATTACGCGTTATGTGTAAATTTAATTAATTTTTATGTAAAATTATTAATACGTTTGAACGTTCAATTTGTATGTGCTTTCTTTTAAATTTACAGAACTTACCCTAGATTACTGAAAAATCTCACGAAGCACTTTCCAAAAAATTGCATAATGTTATCCACAGATTCACCAGTATACACGGCAAGAGCCGTAGCTAAGTTAGTCATTAACTCATCCGGATATGTTTGTCTTGTATTAAAAACTATGTGTTTGCAATCAGCTTTCTCCAGAATACGAAGCCATACTTCTTCACCAAATTCTAGCTGTAAAAAAATAGTTTTAGCTTTCTATTATTTAACATTTAATATTTTTTCTCTTAATTTAGATATCTGAAGAGATATCTGTGGTAAATAGAGTGCAGAGTGGTGAAACACACTGTAATAAAAGTTGTAATATATTTCAATCATAAGTTGCAATTTATTATTAAACTTAATTAAGACAGTTAAAATAAAATTCAACGTAGATATAATACATAAAATAAAGTATTTTATTAAAGAGAAATATCTGTAATACGTTCTTCGTTATGTGCCAAATAATAGGTTCCAGGAATCAATTATAAATCGATTTGGATAATCAAACCAATTTCCCAGTTCCCCTATGTCAATTAATGTTTCTTTTACTAGGATGAGAAGCAGTCACGAAAATGAATATGTGATCTTTAATGAGGAAGGTTCTCAGGAGTATATGCTACAAATGAACACGCAAACCAATTGATACAACTCAATAAACACAATTAGCTATATATGTTAATATTTTAAAACATTTTTAATTTTACGAAGATATACGTTTAAAAAATTCAAGCAAAGTTTAGACAATAAATTGATCTTTTTATAAAAAATGTGATTAATAAAAAATACAGCAAAATTTAAAAAATTATTAATAATTAACGTTATAATATATAATACATTTTAATTTATAATCTCTTTATTTTTATTAAAATTGTGTTAAATTACACAATATTGTCATTATTTATGTATTGAAGTTATACTTTATGTCAAGACAAGTGATTAAAAAAAGAAATGTAAGCAAGATATTATCAAAACAAATTAATAGAGTCGACCATACATGTTGATAGAATACTATTTTTAAAACTTTGTACAATTAAGGCGTTGGAAACTAAAAGGAAGTCCATCCATATTCAAGTACCTCGTTTATTACATATCTACGAAGCGTCTCCTTCACAAATACGTGACACACATTATAAGTACGTATAAGATCAGTTCAAGACAATTCCCAAGAAACAATACAGAATACATTAAATTAATTAGTTATGATAATGTAATTATTATAATTTGAAGCCTGTTATATAACATTATTATATTATTAAATTCTGTTAATATTCTCTTAATTAAAAGAAAAAATAAAAAAAATTTGGAAAATAGTGACAAATATAGTTGCGTGACGAAGCGCATTTACAAATTAAATTTTGTAGAGTTTTTGATATTTAATATCTATTTTAATATCTATTTTAATATAAAATCAACTTTAAAAAATCTAATATTTCATATCGTTTAAATGTAAATTTTTATGGTTTTCTGAACTCACGAGAAATAGATGATAATGTAATTCAATTAATACATGTCGATCATATTTATGAAATTTATTTCCGTAATGTAGATAAAATGAAATATACATGTATATGTATACATGTTTTCAAATATAAGATATATGACGAGATTAATATCAAATCAATATTACGTAAATATTATTAAATTTATATTACAAGATAAAATGGCTTTTTTACGAGAGTGAAAGAATAGAAACAGAAAGAAACAGAATTATTTTACTTGTATTCTTCTTTAAATTATTGAACAAAAAAACCATCTATTTAAACAGTAATTAATCGTTGTATTAGAAACGCCAAGTAATAAATTTATCGTGTTAAAGCTGACGATAATAAGTTTTTATGACTTATGTACTAAAACTGTATTTTGAATAATGTTGTTAAATTAACAATGTAAATTAAAATTCCGTTAGTGTAGATATATAACTGTAAGAAACTAATGTTTCAATAATGTCATTAAATCGTGCTTAAAACTTCGTAAAGAATCAGACAGATTGATGAATGAGTTTAATTTCGATTCTATTAGCCTCTACAAAAAGACAGCGTAACGCAGACGGTTTAAAGATAAATGTATTCAGCCTTAACTCAGCAATTCAATATCCGGTGGGTACATACATATAATTCATTAAAATGGATGCTGACGAACGTGAAATTAATATGAATTTATCAAACTTATTAATATGTCACGTAAGTTACAAACGTTTTAATTATAATATGTAATTTATAATCAGGTATATACATTTATAGCAATAAAGTTATGTTTTTTTATTATATAAATATAATATATTTTTTTTGAAAATAAATTGTCTATCGCAAAAAGGGAAAATACGTAAAAGAAACATGATAGGATTCATTAAAATCTGCATAGCTGGAAGATAAATGTTCTTTGACGTAAAAAAGAATCGATCGTATTTATCTAACGTAAAATACGTGAAGAAGAAATTGCCATTAACGCTGTTAATAAAAGGAGAAAAAAATTCAGACAATTATGTAAAAGAAATTGTCGAGAAAAAGTTTTAATATTTTTAAATTGTGGAAACTTGTTTTTCATCAGCGTAACATTCACAATCTCGAACTTCTTAAATTAAATATTTCCAGGAGCAGCTGCGCCACTATAATTTTATCCACACAACTTCTGCGATTCTCTATGTTATTCGTAATAAATAGAGCCAGAACATTGAAATATAAAAAGAGTTAGCTTACACAGCGTGATTTCCAAATTCGACATATCGAATAATTTAGTAAATCATATTTTCTTTTGAATGCAATTTATAGATAACGATTTAATAGAAAATATTTTAAAAAATGTGTGTGTGTTAAATAGTTTTATAATTTGAAAGAAGTTTGACGAAAAATTATTTTAATAATTAAATATCTAAAATATGTGCTAACTTGGGATGTTTATAAATTGTAAAAATGTATTATTTACAATTTTATATAACGCATAAATTTTTATCCAACAGAAAATAACTGTTAAGATAATGTTCGATGACTTCTTTAATTTTTATCACAGACAACATTCGAGGTAACAATTCATAAAAAATCAATATGTTCATATTTCAGCTAATTGTAAGATACAAATTAATGATTTAATGTATTAATTATTGATTTCTCTTAGTGTAAATGTATAAAAATATATAATAAAAATTAAAGATTATTGAAAATAATAAGTTTATTTAATCCTTGCAATTACATATTAAAGAAAACAAAAAATTAATAGATTAAATCAAACTTTTAAAAATTATTAAAATCTTACTTACCGTTAAAAAAAACGAAGAAGAAATAAAATTTTAATTCAAACTCAATTATTCTCCAAGTACATATATCCCAAATGAGATGCAAGTTAGTCAAATATACAATGCCAGTTCTATGATTTGTTTGCACTTTACCGACCTGCACGAAATATTGCACACTTTCCAACAGCATCCCATACATCTTGACGAATGCGCTCACAAATTTTGTTTACTTGTTTAGCGTTTGTTAATTAATGAAAATATTCGATCAGCGAGTTTATAAAACTGAAGCGTTTTTTCGCAATCTTATAACAGGAGCAGATCGAAATTCTTATCTTGCTCCATTATAATCGCGACGTTCGGAAGACAAGTGCTTCGCACCATCAGGATCGCAACCGGTTGTACCCAGTGTCATTTGAACAATAGACTCCCCCCTTATGCAGTAGAGAAAGGGAAGGCGAATGCGCGGCGGATCCTGTTTCGACTGTGGCTTGAGGGTTACTCAATCTAACAAGGATGGGTTGGAGACATGTACGCGTTGCGTGTGCGCAGATCTTATCGCTGCTTCACAGAGATATTTGCACCTAAATATTTGAAATAGTAAATTTTAATTTACAATTATTTGTTAAAATTATTTAGAGCAGTTTCACAAGGAATTTAATTTATTAAATTTCGTATAATTAAGAGATTATTTTAGTAATATTTACATCGTAATCTATTACAATAAAATTATTTCTAAAAGAATATATTATAATATATATAAAGATATATTAATTAGAAATATATTTATGTTTTAAAATATTATTTAAACATTTCAGAAAATCCAGAAATTAATCTTCTTAGTTGTGTTTATAGTCTATCATATAAGTTTACGTATATAGATTTTATTTATATATTTTCTACACGAAAAAAAAGAGAAATCTGTGTGATTTCGACGTTATTCGTTTAAAATTAAATAGATAGCTTGAAGAGATCCTTCGTAACTAAAAAATAAAAAATACAACAAAAACTTATTTTTGTACATTTAATATAAAGATATGGCAACACATTTTAAGTGATGCCAATAAAGTTTCCGTTAAACATTTATTATTTTTACAAAATGGAAATTAATTAAATATATATTCATCTTCATTCGCGCGCATTAAACTTTAATTTCTTTAAGAGTCGACAAGAAGTTATACGTTATTATATATATATATTATTTACACCGTCTCTTAATTCAATTGTAAATCTTCTCCTCAATCATTCGGCGATAGTTAACAAAGATCAATGGCTGGTTACACTTGTCGCTACACTTGTTTCAATTTCATTACGTTACTCCCAATTCCACGTCGATTATCCGACAGCGGGCAGAGTCTGTGATGTAGGCGTGCGTGACGAGAATTCTTACCACGTGTTGGCAAAAGGAATGACGCGGCGGCGGCCTGTATAATAGAGAGACACGAACACGTTTATACTCGCGTATACGTATAATAATCGTTTATGTGCTGCGTATGCGCCGTTAGTCGGCAGTGGGAACGTAAACATGGCCGCAGAGAGTGGCGACGGTTTGCCAATATCCCCGTCCGAGAAATCGCTCACCGGTAGCCTCGCGTCCGACGAAAACGAGAAAAGTGTCTCGCGTTCGCCGTCAAGTTATTCCATACGGGAGGACAAATGGCCCGATCTCGTCGTGTCCAGACCCAGAAAGCTGGACGCCTGGTGGTTGCCGAGACGTGAGTACACAGCCCGATGGTTGCATGGTCCCCACGATTCGGCGCGCTTTTCAAAAAGTCCGGCGCTCGCGGGCTCGGCTTGGCGCCCGCGTGTTAAGCGTGCGTGGACGTACAACGCGCGCACGTGTCTCGCCATCGTTGTTGTTTCTTTACTGACGATCGTTCTGTTGTATCAGCTAGAGACATTGTATAAACTCTTCGCGGATAGTATTTGTTTCAATAACTACGTAATTGCATCAGATATATCTGACAATCAAGCTGTGTAAGCGACTGCACTTTTCCTATTATGAAGATAGCGTCAGAAAATATTCCTTATGTTTATAACTATAAATTTATATGTTAAAGAAGAGAAATATGATTTTTTTTACATCATGATATATGCTTTTATATTATATAAGATTAAGAGTTTGATTCGTGTCGTTAAATAACGCGCTTTGAAAAACGTGATGACGCATCGTAAGTTTTTTGACGGAAGAGAAGGATAAATAAAAAAAAAAATGGTTTGATTGATTCTTGTTATTCCTGATTTCAAACGTAAAGTTTTCGGTTGTTTCTGGATTTCTTACAATTATTATTTAGTAGATATAGACGTTATAAAAGCTTATAAAATGCAGCATGTGTTTTAAGAATTTCTGAAAGCATTTTGAATTATTTTCCGTTTTTTTTTATTAATTGTAACAAATTCTATCATGTGTCTATGCTGTGTTGGAACCAAACAAATACATATAAGTAAGGAAAAATATAATATTTTATTAATTAATATAAAATAAAACGATTTAAGATTGACGTGTGACTCAATGGAAGCGTCAACTAGATCCGTCGGCGAATTTAATTTCAACCTTCATCTCGTATAGCTATACTTTAGTTTTATAAATTACTGATTTAAAGAATTAGAAGATTGTGAGTGGAAAAGTAATACGTTTCAGGAATCTATATATATTTTTTTATATAAATTAAAACGATTTCTTATAGCTTGTATGTTGAGAACATACAAATCAATATGAGCAACAATAAATGTTTGTATAGTATTTAACTATAACATTTGAAATAAAAATCAATGCCTGTTTAGATTTATAATCAGATCCTTGTCAGCTAAATGTTGATTTTTCAATCTTTATTTTATTTTATTGATTTTAAGATCTACATTCCTTTTTCATGCATTTATAATAAATTTGATAAAATTTATTAAATTAATTTAGTTAAGTTTACTAAATATTTTTTATTAATACAATTATTATCAGCTTCAGTAATTTATCTATTTATTAATGTCTGCGCGGACTCCAATTACGTCCCGCGCAATAGTGTTAGTGTCGGGAGTAATGATATCGTTTACATGTATTCTTGACATGCATAGTTATCTGTTATATGTGATTGATCGCAGCTAAAAGAAAACAGAGAAATAATCACAATTTCATGTATTTGGTACGTTTCTACAGATGATATTTTTATAGAACGTTTAGTGAGATTTTTTAATGCTGTTTTTTTCTTTGTGATTAATTGACTGTGATGTGAAACTGCATAATTAAGTTATTTACATCGTTAAATTTGTTTAAACAAGAAATCCGTATTTATGAAACTATTTCAGTTTTACGTGATATAATAAATACATGTTCATAATTACAATATAGTACAAAATAAGATAATGTTAAAAACATATTGTACAATACTGTTGATTTATAATTGTTTATATGGCAGTATTGATCTATTCGGGATGTCGAAATAAAATTTTGAAACATATAAGCGTTATCTTCTTTTTCTTATCATTCTATTCTTCTCCATTCGCTCAAATTCTATAAAAATTTTGTAAATAAATTTTCTCTTATTGCTGTGTACTGTTATACCGGTAAAGCAATACAGAAAAGATGGTGGCAGCACCACATAGCAGTGCGCAGCGGCACCCGTATTGATTAACGTAGATGGAGGCAAAGTCAGCGGGAAAATCAATATCCACATTTCGCCGGCGCTCTCGCTATTTTCGACGTGAAATTTTTCTCGCTCGACATTCCGTACATTTCCAAGTTGTTCTATAAGTGCGCTGATCTCTAAACACATCGACGCATCGTGAGCGAATAGTCGTAGCGTTGTGAGAATACGATGTAGTCGCGTTAGTGCGCTTTCACCATCTCTTCTTCGCTTGAGCTGAGAATCTATTCGCCGTCTCTTCGTTATACCCTGCGACTTAACTGGAGCATCGCTTATTGAAGCAAGCATCTACTTGCCATTAATAAGACAAGTAGTGAATGGTATAACGGAGGACAATACCTGAAGAAATAAAAGGAGATAGCAACGTAATTAGAAGATTTGTATATTGTTGCTAACAACATAAAATCTGACTGCAAAATAGCCATTTACTGATGACTCATCCATTGCGACACATTTTTCCATCAGCTGATCGATGTAACAGAAAGAAGAAGATCTCTACTATACAGTATTGAGCAAGTCAATATCATCAACTAATAGCACGGGCGCACAGGCGCACATCCTAGAAAAATATATATAGGAAGAGCAAATCGACGCTTATTAATTACGTTCGACTCGTTATTTTAATAACGGGACAAAATCTGGCTCGCGAATATAAACGAGCTGCTTTAATCCAAAAATTATTATCGAAGGAAATAAAAGTCTGTGCATATCACGAGTTTACGTAATAGTGAACGGCCGTTGAAGGATATCGCATAAATCTCCAAGACCGATTGAGACAGTTGACGGTAGAGGAAACCGTCTTCTATGCGGCAGGAATCCCTGACTGGTCTTAAATTGCGGCCGCCGGGCGATCACGGTGGTGTACATCACGGCGGGGTCATGCTGGAGGAAGATATGGCTGGTGCTCAGGACACAATATATCTGTGCAATTTTCGAGTGTCGGTAGATGGCGAGTGGCTCTGTTTAAAAGAGCTACAGGATGTCGAATTCTCGCTCCAAGATTCGATGCAGCGGTCACCATCACCGCCGCTCGCTCTCAGTGGTATTAATCATCATCATGATCACCATCATCATCATCGTCATCAACAGCTTCCTGAGCAGCGAGAGCTTCGCGATATTATGCCACCAAGTCCACCGCCATTGCAGCACGTCTCCAGCTTGTGTCTGTACTGGATGTTACTGCACTCGCCCGTTTCAATTATCGGGATAACGAATTAATTTTCTTTTTCACTCATCGAAATTTAGCTAATTGTGTTGTGACGCACTTATACCGGAATAAGTTTCGCTTTTCTTGCAGTAAAAAAAAAATTTTTTTTGTTCTTTTGTCACGCTTTATCATGGGCGCTTTGGGTTGGAATGAATTTTTTAAATATTAAAACCGTTGCAAATCTTTGTTTACAATTACACTTCTTTATTAATCTTTTATTTAGTTTAAAAAGTACAAATTACTAAATTAACGCATACTGTGCTACGCAATCATTCTTTCATTGTTTAAGTTCCACAATGCGATTTTAGTTAAGGATATTTTCATATTCAGAATTGAATACTTGCCGCTGAATTTGAAATTATTATTAACGAGGGAAGTTAATCGAGATTATGTACTGCAAGTTAGAACAGACACGTATTGTTTTTGCAGCACGAGATCCGGTCATCATCGAGAGGAGTAATCTCGTTAACATTTCAAAACTAATCGTCAAGGAGCTGATCGAAACATCCTTGAAATACGGTCGTATGCTCGATTCCGATCATATGCCGTTGCAACACTTTTTCATCGTTCTTGAACATGTGCTTAGGCATGGTTTACGGCCGAAGAAGGTAAAACTTGCCATCGTGCGGACAGCGGAGTAACTTTTTCATCTGATATTAACGGGCCTCCGATTTCAGGGTCTTCTCGGACCCAAAAAGGAGCTGTGGGATATTCTTCAGCTCGTAGAGAAATATTGTCCTGAGGCACAAGATATTACGTCCAGCATTCGTGATTTACCCACTGTTAGGTACTGCATACTTCTATTTCGAGAATGTGATTTATATTTATTTGCTTGAACTTGTCCGATTGGTAATATGAATAATTAGCAGGATTTGTTTTGTATTTTACCCACGGTAAAATAAAAAATATATGTAATGTTTTGTGTTACGAATTTTTTGTTAGCACATGATCGGAATATTTTTTATTTAATGATAGATATTTTAAATTTTTTTAAGGGATTTATTGAGATTTTTTTATTAAAAAGTTCTTTTATCATTTATTATCAAGATTACTTTTTATTATTAAGATTACTTTTGCCTCTTTTTTTCCGAATCAGATTATTTACCAATATAATTGATAATGACACTTATTAATTTCATGTAATTTAAATTAATTTAAAATTTTCATCAATTTCTTCTTCGTGTAATGAGCAATTGTACGGATTTAATATTTTGAAACCGCTACCACTTTTAGGACGGCTATGGGTAGGGCGCGCGCTTGGCTGCGTATGGCGTTGATGCAAAAAAAATTAGCAGATTATCTCAAAGTTCTGATAGATCACAAAGATGATATTTTGTCTGAATACTTCGAACCGGATGCCCTGATGATGAGCGAAGAGGCAATTGTAGTCATGGGTTTGTTAGTGGGATTAAATGTGATCGATTGCAACTTCTGCGTAAAGGTCAGTCTTATAGCCGCGTTTTTTTCTTCACGTACATGAAAGTGTGCATGTATGCGCTTGATTCAAGTGATAATGACATTAAAGCCAAGATCGATCATAACTGTTGCGACAGGAAGAAGACCTCGATTGTCAGCAGGGCGTAATCGACTTTTCATTATATCTGCGAAATAGTAATCATATACCTGGTGAGTCGCCAGACGACGAACTCGAGAACGACAATATGACCACCGTGCTTGATCAGAAGAATTATATCGAAGAGCTTAACCGACATTTAAAGTAAATATTTCGCGAATTTCAAATGAAAAGTTTCGTATACGTACGAGTGTTAATAATTCGATAATTTGACATTTCCCCTGTCGATTTTAGTGCGACGGTAACGAATCTCCAAGCTAAAGTAGAATCTCTGACGACGACGAACGCTCTCATGAAAGAGGATCTTGCCATTGCTAAAAACAATATTTTGTCGCTTCAAGATGAGAACAGGCAACTAAAGAAGGAACTTGGTATTGAAGTTAAAGATGCGAACGAGGTATATATATCGTTGAAATTGTCTGTTACATACAGATTGCCGTGTTACTGAATCAATTTAATTCCAGAACGGAAAAATACCTCTTAAAATAACAGAAACTACTGCTGAAATTGAAGAACTTAGATGCAGGATAGAATCGGAAAAGAAATCTCGGCATGATTTAGAGAAAGAACTGGAATTGCAGGTTAATAAAAGCTCATATTATTTTATAGTGATATTCCTTTTCTCTACACAAATAGAATATCGCAATTTTTAATATTTTTTTATGATAATACAGATTTATAAAATTAAGTGCAGAAAAAATGCACATAGTGATTGATGAGTATTTTTGTCTTTTTTCATACAGATTAGCATGAAATCCGAAATGGAAGTAGCTATGAAGTTATTAGAGAAGGATATACATGAGAAACAGGATACTATAATATCTTTAAGGCGACAGCTGGAGGATATCAAATTAATCAACTTGGAAATGTACAAAAAGCTGCAGGTATAACTTGCAACTATTCTTGTATAATTTTTTAATCCTCGTGATATAGCTTACTTGTATTTTAACTAATCAATTATTTTATCAAATTTTATGTAATATAAAAAGAGAAAAAGAAGGAGACAGAGAAACAGGAAACGTGTTTATTTTATAATACATATATTAATAATTTTCTTTTAGTAAATTTGTTCTTTTTAATTTAGGAAATATTGGTCATCAAATTTAATAATTTATAAAATTATTTTTTTACATATGCTTTCGATCAATAATATTTCTTGTTAAGCGTATACGACATTTGACATAGGCAAGTATGCTATATCATGGAGACGCGATTTTTTCATACAATTCACCGTTTATAAAATTTTTTAATCATAGGATTTATACTTAAATGGGTTGTAACATTAATTATAGCACAGAGGCAATAATCTGCTTTATATCTTTCCGCATTTCATTGATATTTTCGCTATTTATTAACATTTCAACCTGTTAGTAAATAGCTAAATTGTCTTTTATGCAAGATATTATTACACTAGCCGTATTTAGGTTTTTTGTGTGCTGACAATGGTGGGAAATTTTTATTTCGCCGGAATCTTTTCTTCTCGAGAGGATTTCGGCCCGTAAATTCTTCGTTTCTGGACGTGTTTCCCTTGTAGGAGTGTGAGCATGAGCTGACACAAAAGGGCGAAATGGTGAGCCGTCTTCACGCGAAGACCAATCAGATCGGCAAGATCCTTAACAACCTCGAGAAGTATAATCATTTGATGAAGGATGGCGAAGGTATAAGAAGCCCCACCACTCCGAGTGGCGTATCGAAATCTATTCTTAATAAGACTAGCTCCACTATTCCGAGGGGTTGCCCGCCCGCGGGGAATCCGACCGCCCGGCCGACGGTCGATCATCAACGCTCTCTTGATGAGCAGCCGGCGACAGCAGCCTCTAATGACAAATTCAAACAGAGTCGTTCTACCTCCCAGATTTCTATGAATAGTTCAACGACCGAGCAGGCTGCGAAAGAATAGAGACAGCCTACCCTTACACGATTAATTCCACAGCGGATCTTGACACTTCGGATATCGCGGCTATTCAGCGCTGCACGCGAGGCGTACATTTTTTATACGTACACCCTACAGAGTCGTGCAAAATTACTTTGCCAGATTTCCACCTGTGTTTCGCGCGTAGCATACTGTCGTACACATTTATTCAGTGCCACTTTTGAAGATTAATCGACGCTATGTTAACGAATTTATGTGTAATTACTATGATGTAACGAAATGATTTAGTATGACTTTTCTGAAGCATTGGATCGAGTTGCCGATGCTTTAATTCGATACGGACTGTTATGTTTAAGACAATAACTGTTATAGAAATTACTACAGTATTGCATTATGAAGTACATGTATGTACTTATAATTATATTCTTCACTGAAAAAATAATCAATCATAATTTGTCAATTAACTAATTTAGATTATTGATCTCGAAAAATTTGTCAATATGTTTGCAATACTGATGTGTGAAGTGAGAAAGGACAATATACTCCGTGACATAAATTATTTATTTATTACTGTAATAAGAAACTTATTAAAAATTATAATGTAAATTCAAAATCTAATATTTTTGAAATGAACTTCTTATTCACCTGTCATCCTACAAAACTAGAAATTTAAGAAGTCTGGAGACTCCATGATTCATTGAACATTTCGTTACATCGTATATTTTCAAAAACATCACACATTTCACATATGACAAATTACAAAAGATTTGAGAAAATGCATTATTTTATTAAATCTTGTACTATCACATGCCTAATTATTACAGAAATAATTTTCAACTCAATATAAATACATCACATTGCTATTCCAGGTTGACTTAAAAATTTGGGCAAGCATAATCGTCTCTTTCTCTTTCGCCTGTACTCAATAAATATTTATTTCAGGAGTGCGAAGGTTCACTTAAGCATAAGACAGAACTGATTGCAAAGCTGGAAACTAAAACGCTGTCGATGAGCGAGAGCATCCAGAAAATGGATGAGAAGTATGTTTTATTTGTCTTTCATTAGTCTTAATTAACTTGTAAATGCAATTTAATCACGCGCATACTCGGGATTAAAAGTAGCGCGAGCGTAGTCTTTAATATAATAACTACACATCATCAAAAAATGTTTTGCGCTTCATTATCTTGCATTTTTTTTTTTACACCGAGGCGTTAAGACCATTTTTCTGCTAACCGTCTTATCTGATCAATTACCAATATGTGAAAGGCGTATTGGTAAGCCAGCTTCTCCTGTTTAGCAATATCATGGATTTCTGTATAAGTGAGGTGATGGGGCTACTTCTGATCAATGTTGCTTTATCTATGGCGCCTTAATGTCATCGACATTTCTCGACATTTTCTCGTGTAAAAAAGTTACGTGCTTGTTATCAAAAATCCAGCAAAAACTCACTTTCATTCTATTTATAAAATGAAGATACATGTGCATTTTAGAAAATGGCCTTACACTTTTTATTGTAAATAAGTTATTTCTCCATTTCAAAATATTTTATTCTCCATTACATGATTATTGTGATTGCATTTCTAATATATCAAAAAATTTTTAAACTCCACGCAAAACTTTTTTTGATGCATATATATCTTAAGATAAGTTTTGTTGCTCCATCTTCAGTCTATGTAGATTTAAAATTTAGCACGTAATTCTTCTAATTATACAAAAACTATATTTATAATTGTAAAAATACGAAAAGGGCTAAATGTTCGCATTTCTTATACGCTTCACAATTTCGGTTGAGTCGATATTGTTCAGAAAAATGTGACACATTTTAGATGCGTAAGGACTTGACCATTCCTTTCCATCAAACTTCTCGCGTGATTGTTAGCATTTCTTAATGAGGCGAAAATGTCTTTACATTACTGAACTGTTTTCAGCAGGCATTATTTACGTACAAATATAGTTGTTGTGATAAGATTTTCTTATCAGCTACCGTTTGGTATGCGAATGGTCATACCGATATTTAAATGAAGCACGCACTCTAATAAATGGACAGCTCTAGCTAGAGACGATTTATTTTTTACTTAGATGTCGCAAACGCGATCGGATTTAGGTAGGATAGATTAAAGACTCGCGAAGCTCTAGGATTAAACGAAATTTTATCATCATGGGGATATTGGCAAACTTCACTAAACATGGCTACTCTACAAATAGTTATATCAATATAGCTGTTAATATTGACAAGACATATTTTAAAGTCTTTTGCAATAATCAATAAATATATATATATTATCACTTAATTGTACTAATAAAATTCATTAATGCTATCGGACAGGGAAAATATTAACAAACGTCTACTTATTCAATCTTATTTTTATCATTTCTCCATATTTGATCCTCAGCCGAACGAAAATTAATTTCTCGAATTATCGAAGAATTTTTCGTCTGATATTATTTTAAAGGAAGATATAAATTTTCATATTTTTCTTCGTACCGAAATTAAAACGCTCGTTTTCATTTATGGTAATCGCGTTTAAGGAACTGATTCACGATTATACTTGTCACTGAATCATTCCTTCTTTATTATCACATGAATGAAAATATAAGCTTTACCTCAAATAAGTTATTGCATTACTGGTATCTGTACTCTTACCCATGCAAGACATTTTTCCGAGATGATAGCGTTTAACTTCCTTACTGGAAGTAAAATGTTCGATGGTGATTAATTAAACGTGCCATATCCATATTATTAATATACTTACGTACTTGTATAAGCCTCGCGCAGTGGAAATTATAACGCACTCTGACACTACGTGTGCTTGTACCAACACTACGGAAATAAATTTATGACAGAAGAGAGTGTGAGTTTGTTTACCCCAGAATCATCGCCGATAAGACGTCACGATTTAATAAAATTTTTGTAAATTTTACAATTGCTGAATAAAGCTTTCTCCTTATTTACTCTTATATTTACCTGATAATATCTTGTGAGGTAAGTTATATATTTAGCAGTTATATCACAGTATTATCAATTAAATTATAAATTAGTAAATTATATAAATGTATCAGGCTTAATATTTTATTAAACTCATTTGTATATGGAAAACTTAAAGCAGTGTAATTATGGATTGTTTTCTTTTACTTTAGTATTTACCATATATTTGCCCAATATAACACACACACACACACACCCATGTGATAATTTTACTAACCGTAATTAAATATAAAATAAATATAAAACAAATTTAAATAAAGATAAATAAATATAAAATGTGTAATATCAATTATTTGAAAATTTCCTAGATTGACATTTTCGTGATCTCGTTCTGATATTTGATCATATTTACAGAAATTCATTAATATTTGATAATAATATTTCCGTTCCATTTTTCAAAATAGAATAACAAGTAATTTATTATTTTATATAAATTTGCATTAATTCTTCTCCATTTTTTAATAATGCAATCGTAAAACAGTTCCTTAAATGCGCGTTTTAAAAATATACTTTTATTTGTTTATAACATATTTATAACATATTATGAAAGAGACAGATATATATATATATATATATATATATATATATATAGTGTATTTGCATCAATAAAATTCTTAATTATAAATAATTAATTATAAATGCGCCCCTATTTGATTAAATTTAATTCAATGAATTATAACATGAAAATGTCTCATTTTCTCTGTTAATATGAACAGGCATAAATGATGAATTGCAAGCTATTCTTAGCGACATATAAGGGATTATTAATATCATTCGATATTTTTCTAATAAGCAGACAGGGTCCTCATCTTATATAAGTATAACATCACGCGTCATTACGCTCGCGTTTTAAAATCCCGAGTTAATCCTGGAGCGAGGTGCGAGTTAAAAATCGTTGAGTCAATTGACTGAAATAGCTTCGGACGGTGTAGACACGAGTTTTATGTCTTCGACGTTTAAGTACCACCGATTTGACTTAATCAGGTGCAAGGAGATTGATGGTGTCAGAACGGGAGCGGAGGAGAAGGTGAAGATCCTGGGCGCTGAGGCCGCCGAGCGGGAAGCGCGGACGAATGGGGTCGAGAGGGAATTGCGACTTGAGCGCGAGTGGAGAACCTCCTTACAGGAAACATCGATCTGTAACACGGAGAAGATCTCTCAATTACATCAGGAGATCGATCAGCTGAAGCGGGTGTCCGAGGTACGTATCCACGTGCGATCTGTATTGCCTTTTAAGCGCGTCCGCGGCGAATAAATCTCACGGTATCGCCGTTATCGTCGCGCCGACTCGTAAGTTCAGACACAACGGTGAGCCTCACGGAAACGGCGGCGATCCGATCTTTCTATTTAAATCCCATCCCCGAAACCCGGATTATAAGCCCGTACCTAATTCAATCCGCACGCCGTTGCCGGAGATTTATCCTCCTTTCGATAATAGAACCCGACAATAAGTGTGACGGCGTTGTCGCCCTGGAATAGATTAATGAAATTTATTTCAACTGCTGAATTTTCATTTCTGCGGTTTCTTAAAGCTCATCACGCGCAAACTGGCAGTTCTATGATAAAAATAAGTTTATTCTCTTTTTCTAATTCAAACATGGGATAAAAATATAATAATTGATTAATGCTGAAAATTATTCTCAGCGACGCGAAATACAAAATTGAAAGTTAGACAGTCTAGCCAAGTTATTGTAAAATAAAATAGAATCTTTTTTTGGGATATTTTTATATTAAAAATATTATAAATATTCAGATTTTAATATGTATATATGTATAAGAATAATTAAAATTTGAAAAAATAATTTATAAATTAATATAAAAAAAATGACATAGCGGAGAAGAACGAAACCTGGTTTATCTAAAAGCATTTGCGTGCACCTTTTAGATATCGATCCAAATTCACGTACCAAATTGACATATTAGATTGACATTGTCGAAAGATATATATTTTTATATACGTATATGAGTCGTATCTTACAATAGCAACCGACTAATTCATCCTCGCGACAATGGACGAATGAATGTGTACATGCCGGATAACCATAATTATGACCGTTCCAGAGGTACTTGACGCTGCAGGAGGAGTATTACGCCCTAAAGGAGGTGTGCAGCGAGCAGGAACGAACTCTGGAGGAACTTGGGGGACAATTGAGCGCGGCAAAATTAGCGGCGGCCGAACTCCGCGAGGCCGCTGACAACGCTCAGCAGCAGCAGCAGTCGGCACTGCAAGAGGGCTCGGTAACCTGGGCAAATGATCGGATGGTCACCCAATGCAAAGGGTGCAGCCGTGAGTTCAACATGACTCGTCGCAAGGTAATCAAACTTTTTAATTGCTCTCACGCCTTCGTAACTCTCTTGCTTATTCTCTCTCTCCCTCCCTCCTCTCTTTCTCTCTCTCTTTCGTTCTCTCTGTAACTTTCCGCCCCAACTCTCGGTTTCTCCGGCTTCTTCGCTGAGGCATCTCCGCCTCTCTCCTTGTCTTTCTCTTTCGCTTATCCGATCTATTCGCAGAAACGGTTCGCGCGCGCGCGGAGAGCCCGGCTGAAAGCGCGGCGCGCCGTACGTAATTGTTCAATTATCCCCGCCGTTCGGAAAATTACTGCTTACCCTGATGTGGATTCCAGCCGTCGGACTCTCGACGGAAGAGACAGGGCGAAGTAAGGCGCGCGTTAAATGACCAGGAGATGGTTCGTGTCGTGGCATCAGGGCAGGCTCGGCATCACCGAGCGAGGATACACTTACCGCACGGCGAAGATCTGATGGCGCACCAGGGCTGGGCGCTCGTCAGGTCGTCAGGAGAGCCCTCGAGAGATCGAAATCGCTCCACGCGCGCAACAACTTTGATGCACGACAGTCGTATTATTAGAGATAGCGAGCTATCGCGTTGCCCGGGCCGGCAATTACACTTAAAGGCTTTCGTTTACCTAACTTCCCCCTTTATTAAATCGCGATAGGCCCGTAATGAGGGCCGGAATTTGCGGATAGATAAGAGCCCGGGCTGAGGGATTACCGGCTTAAACAAGTTCTCGAGCGGCAGTTGTTAAGC